TTGTCTCTCCGTTCGGACGGAGTACCCGCGCGGGATGGGTGATTTTGGTTACACTGGGCCAAGGAATTCGCCCTCGGGGTCCGAGCCGCCCAAGGCGCGTTTCCTCGTTTGTATCACACATATGTGTGTGTGTGTGTGTGTGTGTGTGTGTTTCCGCTTCTGTCCTTTTTTTTTCTTCTTTTTTTGGGACCTCTATATCTCTCTTTTGCTTTTATCTCCGTGTCCCAACCACCTGGATTTTGTTCTTCTTTCCTTCATTGCCCTGAGCCGCGGGATTTTTATCCCCCAACCTGCAATATCATTGCTCTATTGTTCCCGGTGTAGTTGGGATTTGCTCGTTCCTGTTGAATTTGGGTGTCCGAGCTGGAGAGAGAGAGAGAGATGGGTCCCGGGTTGGGATTTTCGCTCGTGGTTGTCGTAGCGATTCTTGCTTGCTTGCCTGGCTGTTTGCAATGCCTGTGCGTATGTTTTGTTGATGAGGGGCTCTTTTGTGCAGGTGGACTCTCTCAACGGCGATGTTGTATGCTACGATTTTTCTCTGTATAACGATTTTTTCCCCATAGGGTTCTCTTACGATGTTATTGGGTTCTCAACAATTTTTTTTCGGGCCCCTCGATTTTGTTGTTGAGAGACACCCTGCATAGAGAGGTCATGTCGAAGTTTATTATTTTCATCTATTGCGACGAATATAGTTTCATTTCCGTGGCTCGTTTCTTGAGTAGAATTTCTGCATCCCGGGGTTGCCGGGACGTGTGTCTTTGAAATACGGTAAAATCTCGTTACAACGAAGTCATTGAGACTTTTGAAATATTGTACATAAAAATTCGTGATGAAGTAACTCATTCAAAATTGTGGCTATTGGTCAGGGACCTGAAAATGACATATTTATTAGTGATTATTCGTTGTAACAAGATTCTGCTGTACTGTACCTCGCAATTCGACCGTCCCACCATTCGACCTGCTTCAGCTACTTTTTTGTTTGTTAGTTTTTGGGCTCCTCTTACTTAATTTTACACCGTGTCTTGCAATTCGACCCTAGTCCAGAAACGGATTAGGGTAGGATTGCACCTGTATCTTGATTTGTCAGGATGGGGGGAATGTCCTCTTGAAAATTATTGATGGTTTAAAATCATTAAATCTTTGGTAGGGTAGGCGTAAGTGAAAGGTTTTTATATTTCCTTAACAATTCAAAAGCATTTCTCACAAGTTAGTGCTTTCAACTTTTTGAATTTCACAAATTTTAAAGACAAGCGATGGGAAAAGTATGTCCTTTTTTCAATAAGTTTCCTGTATTTTTTTCTAAAGTTTTCACCCAAAACGTGCCAAAATTCGAGCACTTTTCAGCCAAAAATGTCTTCAAATGAAGCAATGTCGTTATGTTTGTAACTTTTCCGCCCTGAATAAATTTTTAGTTCGAAATTTTTGTTCTGCTATTTTTCGTGACGCGGGAACCGCATAGACCGAAATACATGCAGTAGATGTTTATTTTTTATGCATGAAACGTCTGCCCGAAATTGATGTGCGGCCTGTGAATTCGCGTGAACTCGATAGGATGTAAGAATCATTGGGAATGAAAGAGGAAGTGAACCCTGTTTTCGTCACGCGGCCGCCGTGGAACAAGCGGTTCGGTGGTCACCGGTGTTCCTGACCTGTGAACTCCCATATACTCTGCTGTAACCTCGCTTGTGAATCTCTAGCCGATCCCCGCGCCCCCACTCTTTTTAAATTTTATTTATTTTTATTATGTCACGATTACTCTTTTTATTCAAAAAATCATGGGGGAGGGAAATGAGACTCTCCGAATGCTAAAATATCTGTGCTGTTAAAACAGCGATTTTTCGACTTTTTAAAGTTTTATTCCTTGCTGCAAATATGGATGAAACATTTGAACCATTGTCTTGACTCCCGAGTGTAAAAATTATGCAGTGGAACCCCGACATACGGATGATCCTACTTAGGGGCACGTGAAACTAAATAAGGAAATCTGACCCGACATCCGGCAAATGTCTCAAGATTCGGACCCTTTTCCAACATTTCTGGGAAAATTAAAAGAAAAATTATTTGATATCTCTTGAACAATTTGAGCTATTTCTGTCCACAAAAATTAAGATTAGAGTGCTCATAATTTATAATCGAAAACAGGTTGATTTTTTGTCTCTTTTTTTCAGAGTTTTTTCCATCATGATTGCACAGTATAAGTAGACTCGTTCTTTGCTTCTTGAGCTCCTTCTGATGCCAAAACAGCAGATTCTGTGTTGTTTTCTTCTGCGCAGTTATTTTCTGCATCTTGAAGTTGAGAAGAAAATTGTATTCCATTTTTTCGGGGACTTTATCCTTTACATTTGATGACCAGGAGAACCAATCAGAAGATTTTCCCATTTAAATCTATTGGAAAACGTGATCTGACGTATGGAGGCTCCGATAAAGGGACGATTGGTTTAAGCACCGATTACGTCCGCATCTCGGGGCCCCAGTTTAGTTTTAGGGCATCGCAACCGAAATACATGTATAACAAAATTCAAAGACCATAAAAAACCCCGTTGTAGAAATAATTTCGTTGTAGAGAACGTGTGTAATATGCGTAGAGATTCAAATGGAGCCAAATACGTTTATTTTTAAACTGTGCAGTTAAAAAGTGTGTGGAGAGAATAAACCAGTATTGTACATTACTGCTGTAAAATCTCTTTACAAAAAAGCGAGTGGGACATGGATAAGCCTTCCGTAAAATAAAATAAAAAATAGTTTTAGCAAAGTTCCGTGAATCAGACATTATTACAGAAACATGAAGTAGCCATTCATCATGAGCGATGATAATTCGTTGGAACGATATTATGCAGTAAACTCCATGACTTTTCAACGTGATGAATCGGTTCTATTTCGGTCTTCGGCTGGCTGACTTTCGATCTTGAAAGCGGGCCTGTCTCTCATGGAAGTTTCCTTTCACTAGTTTTCATCACTGTAGATATTTAACTGATCGATCTCATTTGAGGAAAAATTGAGAGAGCGTGTACATGGAATTTGCTTCTCAAAAGAAACTTCACTGTCGTTGCAGCCGTTTTAATTGATGTGACAGCTGATCAGTGCTTCGGGGAAATCTTGAAAGTGAAAAAGTTGATGACAGCTTCGAAAACTTCCCTGGTCTTTTAGGCCGTTTAGGTTATTAACGTCTCATTAATCGACATTGGGGTGAATGAATAAAGCCAGTGGCCCAGTAACTGATGCTGAAGGGAAAATGTTCCTGCGAGAGTTTGATTGAAGGGGGTATTTTTTCGATCACGCGATTTCGATTCCAGTGAAAGTTTGCAATTATTGAAAAAGCTATTTCTATACTGATGATTGCAGGACGGATTTCTGGAAAATTTTCTGGCTTTGAGATTGTGGAGGTTTTTTTTTTTTTTCTTCACCTTCCCCCGGGGATTATTGTGTGGTGTGCGAAAATACGAGCGATTTTGTGGAACAAAATCCTATATCCTATGTCAATGCAAAAAATGGGCAAAAGGCCTCCAGAAAATTTGATTTTTGGAGGTTTGACAGGGAAAGCCTTTGAATTACGGAGGCCATTAATTTATTGTTTGAAAGGGAATCCAAACAGAGACTTCAACAAATTCGACATCGGCAGGTTTTGGTCTTGGAGAGGTTCGAGTTATCTAGATTCAGTAACATTAATATGTAACCGTAAATCGCCACAATATTATCAATCCACCTCTGATGATTGTGAAGTGTCCGTGATATGGAGTGGACAAATTGGCAAATCCTCTGACCCGACTCAAACAGCAGCGTGTTGCGTGTCTTTGCGATTGGCGTGATTCGCTATATGGGTTCGTGTTCGGTTATTCACGCCACACGTGGTTGTTGCACGTGAGACAAACCCCAAACCCAAGCTGTTGTATTTTTGTTGCTGTTTTGTTTTATTTCCTGGCTTGCCACTTTCTCCCTCGGGCTTCATTCCAGAGGCAGAAAACGCGGTAGTCGGTGTTGAAACATGGGTAGGTGAGTACCAAGTCACGCTTGTTCCTGCGAGAGTTTGATTGAAGGGGGTATTTTTTCGATCACGCGATTTCGATTCCAGTGAAAGTTTGCAATTATTGAAAAAGCTATTTCTATACTGATGATTGCAGGACGGATTTCTGGAAAATGTTCTGGCTTTGAGATTGTGGAGGTTTTTTTTTTATTTTCTTCACCTTCCCCCGGGGATTATTGTTTGGTGTGCGACAATACGAGCGATTTTGTGGAACAAAATCCTATATCCTATGTCAATGCAAAAAAATGGGCAAAAGGCCTCCAGAAAATTTGATTTTTGGAGTTTTGACAGGGAAAGCCTTTGAATTACGGAGGCCATTAATTTATTGTTTGAAAGGGAATCCAAACAGAGACGTCAACAAATTCGACATCGGCAGGTTTTGGGCTTGGAGAGGTTCGAGTTAACGAGATTCAGTAACATTAATATGTAACCATAAATCACCACAATATTATCAATCCACCTCTGATGATTGTGAAGTGTCCATGATATGGAGTGGAAAAATTGGCAAATCCTTTTGACCCGACTCGAACAGCAGCGTGTTGCGTGTCTTTGCGATTGGCGTGATTCGCTATATGGGTTCGTGTTCGGTTATTCACGCCACACGTGGTTGTTGCACGTGAGACAAACCCCAAACCCAAACTGTTGTATTTTTGTTGCTGTTTTGTTTTATTTCCTGGCTTGCCACTTTCTCCCTCGGGCTTCATTCCAGAGGCAGAAAACGCGGTAGTCGGTGTTGAAACATGGGTAGGTGAGTACCAAGTCACGCGGTTTCGGGCCCGCTGCTGAACACCTTAGGTTCTCAGGCGTTTTTCGCCCCTGATGAATGCTCTCAGCCAGAGGGTCCTTTCTCTGCTGGATTCTTGCCATGCTTGAACCTCTGTGTTGAGGCACGAGGGTTTCTATTTCACTCTCTATCTCTGTCTCTCCTGCTTCCGCTCATTAGGTTTTTGTTTCTTCTTTCTTTTATCAATATATACGGATGGAGTCGAGCGGGTTTGGGGTTACGACACAGGTAGGAGTAATGTTCGATGAATCGTTTCATCAATGCTTCGCTTTTTTTTTTTTTTTTTTTTTTTGTTCCACCCGTTCCAATATGTGTGTGTGCCTGTGAGAAAGAAGGTTCTTGGGAGTTTTGGCTTCGGGATAATTTCCTCCTTGAAGGATCTGAAATGTGGATACAATTTCACGAAGAATTGCGGTTTCTCTTCACCGAAAAGCCTTGTAAATCAAAATTTACCGAGAAAATTTTTGTTAAAGACTCAATTCGATAAAGAACGTTTTCTTGTCTTGTGAAGAATATCGGGGATAATATTGATTTTTTTTTCAACTCTTCGGTGAAACGCTCTTGGTGATGATTGCTGTAGGTACATTCATAAAGGTACAGTACTCTACTCATCAGTGTCTTAATATGTGGTGTTAAAGAGGATTAGTCTCGAGGATGACAAGCAAATAACAAAAATAAGTCTAGTCTAATAACTTTGGACACATGATGAAACAAATTCTGAAAACACACAAAATTATCCTTTTCTTGAGTATGAATTAGGATAAGTGTACTGTATAATGAAATATATTATTAATTTTTGTGAATCCAAAATTATAAATTGCTTGATTTTTTCGAGAGATATCGAAATTTAGAGAATTGATACAGGTGGACGCTCTTTACAACGAAATTCGAAGCACTGTACATTACCGAAAAAAGTCGCTGTAGCGAGGATTTCGTTGTTGAGAACTCCTATAATATTGGGCCCATGGAACCCAAAAATATCATTGTACCGATAAAATCTTCAGAGTGAGTCCACCGGTATTTNCCGCTTGTTCAACGGCGGCCGCGTGACGAAAACGGGGTTCACTTCCTCTTTCATTCCCAATGATTCTTACATCCTATCGAGTTCACGCGAATTCACAGTCCGCACATCAATTTCGGGCAGACATTTCATGCATAAATGTACATTACCGAAAAAAGTCGCTGTAGCGAGGATTTCGTTGTTGAGAACTCCTATAATATTGGGCCCATGGAACCCAAAAATATCATTGTACCGATAAAATCTTCAGAGTGAGTCCACCGGTATTTTCCATTTAATATACAAATTGGAAAAGTGTTCTTATCTTGAGACATTTTCCGGATGTTGACGCAGATTTTTCAAGTTTGAAGTTGCTCTAATGCGAATCATTTGTATGTCACGGCTTCATTTAAATTTTCCTTGATAGAAAGAGCCCAATTTGTTCAAGACGTATTGAAAAAATGAATTGAAAATTGAATTTTACTTGATTCTAAAATGTTGTCTACAGTGTCTGCATCTCGAGACATCGTTCAGAAGCCGGAGCATATTTTCTGAGTTTAAAATGTCCATAAGTCGAATCGTCCGCATGTCGGACCTAGTCTGCTCTACCCTGGTGATGTTTTCTTCGATAACCTTTCAACGCAGTGTACTCATGGCCGGAGATACAGTATCCCGCTATTTCTCGTTGATCATTAGTCGTTGTCTTCGAGTCTCGCATTTTTTTGTACGTACATCAGATCAGTAATTTTTATAGCGTGCGTTTGTTATGGGTCCATTACTGATGGCAGCGTTGCGATAAAACAAAATTATTTCCTGTGTCGGATGAATATTTCACCGTCATCAGTCATACGGTTCATGCTGGTGGACGGGCTTTGCCTTGATCCGATCGATTTTCTGGTGCAATTCCGTTGCAAAATCTCGTTTCGCAACGATAGATATATCATTTTTTTGAGGTCAGGGGAGACAGGCTGAAATCTTGGGTCAGAAATATCACCGGCGCGAGGAGGAGTTATCAAGCATCTTCTCTCATTCAAGTTGAAACTTTTTTTTCTATTTTTCGACCGACGAGTTGTGTAAATTTCTGCCTTGTCGTAAATTACATCTTGCTCATCTCCGGTTGTCATTTCTCCTGTGGCAATAATGGAACGGGTGGAAATGAGGCTTCTGATCAATGAGTGTCGAAGCCTGGGGAACCTATGGATTTTTTTTTTTTTTTTTGTTTTTGATTTTTTGCTCATAGCACGTGCGAGGGGTATGACGAATGTTCTCGGAATATAAGTTCAAACGGCATACAGTTGAGCTGGAAAATATTCATTTTTGAGGAGTAACATTCTTTGGTACGAGTCAGAATTCATCCCTCTTCGACAAATTTTTCAGGACATTTTTGCAAGCCACCCCGGCAACTTTCTGCTCTTCACTAAAACGATGAGGCGAACGTCTCGCAGATTTTTTTTTCTACCCCAGCTTCCCCTTCACAATTCTTGAAAGTCATACGACACTAATTGCAAGGGTTGCCGCCATTAATTAATATTTATTCCGCCATTTTCATTAACACATACCTGCCACATTTTCATTCCAAGTGGCAGCTGTTGGTGAAAATAGCTTAATCAAAGATCGATTAATGTCGGTAACCCTTGGAATTGATGCCACATGAATATAAAGAATTCTGAAGGGAAAGCTGGGATACGCTGAAAAAAATCTGCGAAATGTTTGCCTCATCTTTAGACTGGAAAGCAGGGAGACTTTTCTAAAATAAAATTCCAAAAAAATATGTCGAAGTCGGCTGATTTTTTTTTTTTTTTTTTTTTGCCAGAGAATGAACTTTTCGGAACGATATGTGTTTTTCAGCTCAATCATATACCGTTTCAATTTCTATTCCGACGAAAACTTTTGTTAGACCCTCGTGTACGAAGATGTGGGTATTTTACTGTTGCACCTAGCTTGAAACTTCGGGATTGACCCGAGCTAGTTTTAAGTAACGTTCGAAATTCATCACTTTGCCGTACACTGCGTTTGTTTTCGGTGCAATTTCACAACCGTGGGATTCTTCCGTGGTCCGTCGAAAGAAAAAGTAGCGTGTTCGGTTGGAACGAGTTTGTGCGCAAATGCGTTTTTTTTTTTCTGTGCTCGATTGTTGCAAATTTTGCAGCTTGGAAGAACCTTCAATGCGTAGAAAATCGCCGGTTTTGGGGAAAATCACGCGGAGGAATTTTTGGTGTTTGAATCTTGAATTCATGGTGAAGTACTCAAATCCGAAGCGTGATGTTTTCTACTGTGTAAAAAGCGTTTTCTTCAAGTTCGAAAAGAGGTTATTTTTACTTTTAAGCTCGGAAGTGGGGAAAATTTTCCAAATACCTAAAAAAAGTATTTTAGCGTTTTCGATTTGGCCCTGAATTGCATGAATTTCAGAAAATCACTGACGTTTTCAAATCTCGAAATGCACTATTTCGGAAAAAATCGATTGAACCGAAATAAATCGGCTTGGAGTACAGTATTGGCACGGTTACCTTTTTGTCTTGTTCATCACTGCCGCGATAGAGAAATAAACTGGACTGGTTTATCTTATCTCTAAACCTTGAGAGTAGGAAAGCTTTTTTTGAACTCGCAAAAGTATTTTAGTGCTCTTATTTTTCGGAAATCCCCATTTGCAACATATCTTTAGAAATGCTGGTTTCTTCATCTAGCTTCTAGCTAAAACACGGTGTGTCCACTAGACTGATATTGATCAAATGAACCATTGCGTTCAAATCATCCGAGAAGCGATAAAACCCAGAATATCTCGGATTAATATATAATGTAATTCTTTTTAATTGTCCTCCAAAAGATATTTCTCTCCCTTTACTCGAATTTGTTGTGGTCCCTTGAAGATGAAACGAAAGAAGTTTGACTCTACTGCATCAATTTTCTTCTGCACATACATTTATTTCGAACAAAACGTGATTTAGCCCGACGAATGGCATAAAAATACATGAATATATACCCGTGTCAGTGTTGAGCATGAGGACCCGAAATTTGATGTGTATCGATATTTTCTGCTGCAGGTGATCGATACGTCCGACATGGCGTACGAGCAACAAGCCTTGCTGCTTTCTCCTTCCTCGATGGAGCCGCCGAAAGAGAAACCTCCGCCACCGCCGCCGGTAGAACCGCCCCCGATGACGGATCCAGAGACCAACACGTCGTCGGAGCTGGACGAAAGCGTGGACGTACCTCAGGACGACGATGACGACGACGAAGAAATAGAAGAAGACGTCGATGACGACGAACGAAACGTTGTCGTCGACGACGACGACGACGATGAAGAAGAAGAGCAATTCGCGGAAATGTTCGAGTCTGTGGCCCACCACCGACCGTCTCCCGCCGTCGCTCCTCCTCGGTCCACCCAAGAACCCATTATGCTGCAGAAGTCGGTCCTTCGACACACGGTGTCGTCGTCATCGTCGGCTGTGTCGCAGCGTTCTTCCTCGCCGCCGTCGGTGCAGATCAGGCCGGCGTCGGGGACGTCGAATGGACCGTTGCCCGTGCGCTCGACGTCCGTGTCGAACCGAGTCAAGATGTGGGAGACTGGGAATTTCCCGAGGAAACCCGCTGAAGAGAGTGACGACGATCAGGGGTCGTCGAAATCGTCGTCGGTGACGACGAGCGGGGATTCGAGGCAGAGGTTTGAAGAGACTCGACCCGTGTCGGTGCTGTCCACTGCGTCGACGTTGCCGCGGCCAGACGTCGGGGTTTCGCTGACGAAAGAAAACGTCAGGGTACGATATCAGTACAGTAGAACTCTTTCAAAAAATGTATCGATATGCACGTTTTGAGCTTGTCAAACTGTTGAAGTCAAAAAAGGCGCCCACTTTTAGAGTTGGTNTTCGCTGACGAAAGAAAACGTCAGGGTACGATATCAGTACAGTAGAACTCTTTCAAAAAATGTATCGATATGCACGTTTTGAGCTTGTCAAACTGTTGAAGTCAAAAAAGGCGCCCACTTTTAGAGTTGGTCATCTTGCTGACGTTGCATATTCAAGTGTAGTGAGGCCCCGAGATGCGGACGTGATTGGTGCTTTGACCTTGTCTTTATGTGGGAGTGTCGATACGTCAGATCACGTTTTCCCTTAGACCCCAATCGGAACGTGTTTTATAGGTTCTCCCGTTCATCAAAAATTAGGAATAAAGTCCCGACAAAAGTGATAAAATATTTTTTCTGAACTTCACTGTACAAAAAGTAACTGTTCAGAAGAAAACGATACAGAATCCGATCTTTTGCATCAGAAGGTGCTCAAGAAGCAGATAGCAAGTCTTGCTATGCACTGTACTGTTCACACTTGTTGGAAAAGAAACTCTGAAAAATGAGCACAAAATTAGCCTGTTTCGGAATATGAGTCAGAGTAATTTTTTAATAGAATTCATTTTTAATTTTTGTGGATATCAATATCACAATTTGTTCAAAAGATCTCGAATTTCGAAACGTTTAAAAAAATCAGCGTTTAAAAATGTCAACCGCGTTTCATTGGTTGAAAGCAGGAAATACAGACACACACAAAAATCAGTGGATGGTCCTCAGTTGCAATGAGCAATCGCAAGATTTTAAAAATACAGTGAGACCCCGAGATACGGACATAATTGGTGCATCTAGAGTGTCCCTTAGTCAAGTCTAATTTTCCCTTAGACTTAAATTATGTGATTTTTAATTGGTGTTTTATACTTTTATTGTCAAAATACTCACTATAATTCCATAAAAATAAAAATTGTCTTCCAATTTAAACCGATTCAATCAATATCTTTCAACACAATATGGACATTTGGGGAATTGAATATTGATACCTTGGTACAGTACAGTACATAGAAATGTTGGCATTCTCTGCCAAAAAAATGTAAGTGTCCCTGTGTCATATTGTCCAGTGTCCACATGTCGAGGTGTCCGCTTATGGGGGTCTCACTGTACCTTGCTGCACTGCTTTTTCGCCGTTTCAAGGTCTTGAGCATTTTCGGGTGATTTTATTCGCGAATTCTGTATTAAAGGTTCAAACACATTGAATTTGAAGAGCATAAAGTCACGTCTAAAGGGACGTGCATCGTTTCCGTCCGAGTTAGAAGAAAAAAGTACTTTATATCACCATCGATTGCGGGTTTAAAAATCACGTTATTTACTCAAAAATAAAATGTCACCTTTTCCCTGAAAAAAAAAAGTTCAGCCTATGTTACGTATTGGAAAGTAAATTCCATGTTTGATTTTTGATCAGCGAAATGGTTTCAGCTGCGTATCAAGTTTATAAAGCGATATTTAAAGTCTTCGCGGACGTTTTAAATTCAACAAACGAAAGAGTTGAAATTCGAAAGTTCCCGAGGCGATTGTGCTGTTACAGTAATTGGAGCATGTTCAAGCAGCAACGGTTTTCTTCATTTTCGGAGAAATTTGAAGTAATGAAACTGAATCTTATGTTAGCAATAAAATTGTTTCGGTTTTTAAGGCCTGCAAAAATCCGGCTGCATTGGATATTTCCGTAAAAATGATGTTGGGTTTTATTTTCGGGATATTTGACCGTCACTCAACGAGATATGAAATTCCTTTTTTTTCCGCGCCCGGAGAAACTCTCAGGCCTTGAACGAAATCATAAAAAATCTTAACTTGCAATTTCCTGGTTTTCATGATACTGCACCCGCGAAATTGGGGGATTTCGCATATATATTTTTCGTGGAATATGAACGAAAATGTTCTTTCGATTTATTCGATGTTCGAAGTACCCGTTTCCCGTGAAATGATGTACTCGAAGCTGAGAGCGGATATTTTTTTTTATCCCATGTACATTGAGAAAACCCAACTTCCTGCTTCGGAAGATTCAAGTTTTTACGTATTTTTGGTGTTTTCCCGCCTCACAGTACTGCAGTTGTATTTGTCATTTCGAGTTGAGAAAGGAATCAAAATGTGAAACTCTCGAACAAAAGTATCATCACTTTCAACTGTTCCGTTGTGCAATGAAAATTTAAATCATGGGTAATGTGAAAACGCGGTGCAGTACTGTGTTCGATCATACGGCAATGTACTACTCTATTCAAATTAGTTTTTTCTGAATTTCAGCGAACCCTGGGAAGTACCGAATCATTTCATGAACTGTATCGTGTGACGTCTATAACTGAGCCTTTTTTTTTAGCGGTATTTTTCTGTCAAATTTTTTATGTACTGTAAATGACAACGATGAATGCCGAAAAGGTCGGAGATGATGAATAACCATAAATTTTTCAGTTTTCCTTTCGATGTAATGACTGTGAGTGAAAGACTATCGACGAAAGTACTGATCAGATCTGCGTTTTGAATTTACTATCTTGTCTAATTCGATTTTGAAAAAAAAAAAGTATGCGTTTAATTGACGGACATGTTTGTTTTCGTGTGAGCATTTCGGATTGAAATGTTTGAATTCATATCTTGTGAATTCAACTCCTCTAGCTTTTGCGTCTGCATTTTCCCTTGACCTTAAACGATTTTGCTAAAAAAAAATATTTAAAATGTTCACCGTATATGAGTTTTTTTTTTTTTTTTTTAGAAAAAAGAAGCGATGCCCGATCGTTGGCTGAAATATCCAATGCTGTACCCGATTGTAAAATTTTTGTTTCTCACGAGTCCTTGGGGTCTGAAAATGCGCGAATCGCATATATTCCCAGAAATTTCATGTAAAATAGCAAAAATCGATGCGAAAGTTGTTTTTTTTTTTACTCATTTTTATGCTGTCAAGAAAGGTTTTTTCTTTGTGAGGATTCTGTCTGCTAGGAAGTTCCGCACCGTATTTTACGTCTTCACGACTTCGCCTTGTGCATTCTGAAGTAAACTCTCGACTCGATGCCCGATACGAATTGATGAACTTCAAATAACTTCCCTCCGGAATATTAAATTCATGGGCGAAAGCCAAGGTCAAAATGAATGTAAACCTCTTGCGGAGAAAAAATAAAAATTAGGAGGAAATGTTGGAGCTCCGAAACCTTTTTTTAATTTTTTTTATTTGGTTCTCAGTGCATTTCGTGCTGATGGAAGATAGCTTGCGTTAAAATGAGGAAGCGATTGAGTGCGTGCTTTTCTCAGTCGAATTTGCACTTTCAAGTTGAACGATTTTTGGGGGTGTTAGCAAATTCTGTACAATACTTCTACTCAATCTTCCTCGTCGAGGTCAAATGTTGCGAAACCTTTTTCCTATTTTTTATCCGATGTTCTATGAATCTCAGGAGAAGGAGTTTCGAAACAATCAAGCATCGAAGCAGTGAGTCTCAGAACTTTGGGTTACAATAATCAGGAATAGCTTTGTTTAAAGGAAGGTTTGGTTACAACTGAAGTCGGTTTGCAATTGCACTCAATATACAGAATAAGTCAAGGTTACAATCGTTGAAATCAGTTCAGATTTCAGTGGGTTATGTCAAGTTGGATTTCTTCATTTCAAGTTGATACGTGAATTAAAATATTGTATTTCAGTCAGGGTTTCATGAATCGGAACTGCGATCAATGAACAAACTTCGGTCGTCACGATGAAAATTAATGAAAAATTGTTTCACAGTTCGGTATTTAGTCTGGACTTTCCGAATGATCCTGAATGTGCAATGCTTTTTTTTCTCGGTAGAATTCGATGGCTGTGGAATTCTTCCGTTGTTTGTAAAACAAACGAGCAGCGTTTTTGGTTTGAATGAGCTTTCGCACAATTTTCTTTTCGATTTCTGTGGTTGATTGTTGCAACTTTCGCAGTTTGGAAGGACATTTCTATGAACGATAATCGCCGTTTCCTGGGGGAAATCACGCGGAGGGATTTGTAGTGTTTGAATCCTGAATTCGTGTTACAGTACTGAAATCCGAAGCGTGATGTTTTATACTATGCGGAAAGCCTTTTCTTCGAATTCGAAAGGATTATTTTTTTGTTTTTGAGTTGACAATTGAGGGAAACTTTCCAAGAACTCTAGAAAAGTATTCAGCGTTTTTCGGTTTGGCCGTAAATTGCATTAATTCTGAGGAAATAATTGACGTTCTTTCAAATCTCGAAGTTCATTAATTCGGAAACGATTATATTGGAGCGAAAGAAATTGGCCCGAATAATTGTTATCAAGTTTATAAAGCGATATTTAAAGTCTTCGCGGACGTTTTAAATTCAACAAACGAAAGAGTTGAAATTCGAAAGTTCCCGAGGCGATTGTGCTGTTACAGTAATTGGAGCATGTTCAAGCAGCAACGGTTTTCTTCATTTTCGGAGAAATTTGAAGTAATGAAACTGAATCTTATGTTAGCAATAAAATTGTTTCGGTTTTTAAGGCCTGCAAAAATCCGGCTGCATTGGATATTTCCGTAAAAATGATGTTGGGTTTTATTTTCGGGATATTTGACCGTCACTCAACGAGATATGAAATTCCTTTTTTTTTCCGCGCCCGGAGAAACTCTCAGGCCTTGAACGAAATCATAAAAAATCTTAACTTGCAATTTCCTGGTTTTCATGATACTGCACCCGCGAAATTGGGGGATTTCGCATATATATTTTTCGTGGAATATGAACGAAAATGTTCTTTCGATTTATTCGATGTTCGAAGTACCCGTTTCCCGTGAAATGATGTACTCGAAGCTGAGAGCGGATATTTTTTTTTATCCCATGTACATTGAGAAAACCCAACTTCCTGCTTCGGAAGATTCAAGTTTTTACGTATTTTTGGTGTTTTTCCGCCTCACAGTACTGCAGTTGTATTTGTCATTTCGAGTTGAGAAAGGAATCAAAATGTGAAACTCTCGAACAAAAGTATCATCACTTTCAACTGTTCCGTTGTGCAATGAAAATTTAAATCATGGGTAATGTGAAAACGCGGTGCAGTACTGTGTTCGATCATACGGCAATGTACTACTCTATTCAAATTAGTTTTTTCTGAATTTCAGCGAACCCTGGGAAGTACCGAATCATTTCATGAACTGTATCGTGTGACGTCTATAACTGAGCCTTTTTTTTTAGCGGTATTTTTCTGTCAAATTTTTTATGTACTGTAAATGACAACGATGAATGCCGAAAAGGTCGGAGATGATGAATAACCATAAATTTTTCAGTTTTCCTTTCGATGTAATGACTGTGAGTGAAAGACTATCGACGAAAGTACTGATCAGATCTGCGTTTTGAATTTACTATCTTGTCTAATTCGATTTTGAAAAAAAAAAAGTATGCGTTTAATTGACGGACATGTTTGTTTTCGTGTGAGCATTTCGGATTGAAATGTTTGAATTCATATCTTGTGAATTCAACTCCTCTAGCTTTTGCGTCTGCATTTTCCCTTGACCTTAAACGATTTTGCTAAAAAAAAATATTTAAAATGTTCACCGTATATGAGTTTTTTTTTTTTTTTTTTTTAGAAAAAAGAAGCGATGCCCGATCGTTGGCTGAAATATCCAATGCTGTACCCGATTGTAAAATTTTTGTTTCTCACGAGTCCTTGGGGTCTGAAAATGCGCGAATCGCATATATTCCCAGAAATTTCATGTAAAATAGCAAAAATCGATGCGAAAGTTGTTTTTTTTTTTACTCATTTTTATGCTGTCAAGAAAGGTTTTTTCTTTGTGAGGATTCTGTCTGCTAGGAAGTTCCGCACCGTATTTTACGTCTTCACGACTTCGCCTTGTGCATTGACTTCATTTGAGAGCTGAGCTACGGGCTATGCTTAACTACTTGAAGTTTATTGAAGGGAGGCCTTATAATTTAAGTACCCGCTTTCGGTTCCAGTTTTACTTACATTTGGAGAACGCCTCTTTTTTAAATAAAAATTAGGAGGGAATTTTAGAGCTCCGAAACCTTTTTTCTTTTCTTTTTTATTTGGTTTTCAGTGCATTTCGTGCTGATGGAAGATAGCTTGCGTTAAAATGAGGAAGCGATTGAGTGCGTGCTTTTCTGAGTCGAATTTGCACTTTCAAGCTGAACGATTTTTGGGGGTGTTAGCAAATACTGTACAATACTTCTACTCAATCTTTCTCGTCGAGGTCAAATGTTGCGAAACCTTTTTCCTATTTTTTATGCGATGTTCTATGAATCTCAGGAGAAGGAGTTTCGAAACGAATCAAGCATCGAAGCAGCGAGTCTCAGAATTTTAGGTTGCAATAATCAGGAATAGCTTTGTTTAAAGTAAGGTTTGGTTACAACTGAAGTCGGGTTGCAATTGCCCTCAATATACAGAATAAGTTGAGGTTACAATCGTTGAAATCAGTTCAGATTTCAGTGGGTTATGTCAAGTTGGATTTCTTCATTTCAAGTTGATATGTGAATTGAAATATTTTATTTCAGTCAGGGTTTCATGAATCGAAACTGCGATCAATGAACAAACTTTGGTCGTCGCGATAAAAATTAATGAAAAATTATTTCACGGTTCGGTATTTAGTCTGGACTTTCCGAATGATCCTGAATGTGCAATGCTTTTTTTTCGGTAGAATTCGATGGCTGTGGAATTCTTCCGTTGTTTGTAAAACAAACGAGCAGCGTTTTTGGTTGGAATGAGCTTTTGCACAATTTTCTTTTCGATTTCTGTGGTTGATTTTTGCAACTTTCGCAGTTTGGAAGAACATTTCTGTGAACGATAATCGCCGTTTCTTGGGGGAAATCACGCGGAGGGATTTGTAGTGTTTGAATCCTGAATTCGTGTTACAGTACTGAAATCCGAAGCGTGATGTTTTATACTATGCGGAAAGCCTTTTCTTCCAACTCGAAAGGATTTTTTGTTTGTTTTTGAGTTCGCAATGGAGGGAAACTTTCCAAGAACTCTAGAAAAGTATTTAGCGTTTTTCGGTTTGGCCGTAAATTGCATTAATTCTGAGGAAATAATTGACGTTCTTTCAAATCTCGAAGTTCATTAATTCGGAAACGATTATATTGGAGCGAAAGAAATTGGCCCGAATAATTGTTTTGAAGTGTTGGCACGGTTATTTTCTCGTCTATTTCATCAGAGCCACGATAATCACATTTCTACTGGAGCTTTTCATTTAATTTTTTTTTTTTAATCTTGAAAGCGAGAAAACTTTCGTTAAACTCGAGGAAAGTATGCGATCGTTCTTCTTTTCGGCAATATCCATTCTGGACATTTCTGTGAAAATGCTGGTTTCTTTATTTAGCTCAGACATCGTTACTGGTGGTCGGTCACCTTTTTGAATATTTAAAAAATGACGTTAGGTGTAAAGAGTCCTGGAAAGTGTTATGTGATCTGCACAAGTATGGCTTCTAATTCCCTTCTGCGATAGGATAGTGGAAACCTCAATTTTATTTTACCGAATGTATTCTGAAGCTTTTTCAAGATGTGCATGACATGGAAAATGAGGCAAATTGCTTTTTTTTGCAATTTTTACAACAGGAAATCAATAATTTTCAATAATCAATAATAATAATCAATAATCCTCTGATCATGCCTTATTCTTCAGTACGCACTCGAAAAATGTTGAGTATACAGTGAGACCCCGCTATGCGGACATATTTGGTGCATCAAGAAGTCGAAATGTCCCTAAGTCGAGTCTTTTTTCCAATAGACTTACATTATATAATTTTTAATTGGTGTTTTGTGGAAGAATTATTCTTCAGAATTCCCTGAAAAAATTGTTTGCCACTTGAATTTGAATTAGTGAATATGAGAGAAATGCCCAAGAACTTTTCTTACATCAATTTCAGGATTGGAAATATCTGTTTCTTGTAATTAGGCCAGAAATGTATTTGCAATTTTATCACAAAATGTCCCTATGTCGAGTCAGTGTCCTCATGTCGGGCCATTTTCATTAATTTGTTTCTGGGAAAGTAAGTGTCTTTATTTTGAATTGTCCGCAGGTCGAGGCGTCCGCATGTGGGGGTCTCACTATATTTTCAAACGTTAAGTATATGTAAAGCTCGAATCATTGACCTGCTTTACTGGTTCAGCCCTGCGCATGTCATCCATCTTTTTATTTTGGTCGGAAATGGTATTGGATTTCAGGATATAAGAAATAGCTCTGGCATTTCTATAAATCACAAAGTATACTGGCTTATGTAGAATTTTTATTGCAGGTTTCCAAATTTGCTCAGGTTAGAAATTTAGCACAGGTAATTTTGTGTCGTTGTTGTCCGGTTTATTCAAGCCGTGATCAAATTGCTCAGCTCTCGTCATGTCATCGTGATTATATACTGTAGTATTTCCAAACCCGTGGTCAGCAGAAGTTTTTTGCAGGTCCGTGGGAAATTTTCTTCAGCGTGATAAATGTATCTATCGAACGTAGGAATTGAGTATGTTATTTTCATCTGAAATTTTGTAAAGACAATAGCAGGTTGGAATGATCTGATGAGAAATAAAATATGGCTCTTCTCCTAGTACCACTTGAGACAAATTTTTCCCTGCTGAAATAAATTATTCCAGTTTTCATGCTGATAAAGCTTTGTTCAAGCCTAACTTTTTAATTTTTTTGAAGACATTCCACTATAGCTGCTTTATTGGTTCTTGAATTATGTTTTGACAAAAAAGTAGAAGCATTTCAAGTACCTTTCATTAAGTCTTCGGAACGAATTTTTTTGTGTCTGCAAAAAGTTTAAGAAACTTTGCCCGGCTGCAGCAAATTTTTGGGAAAATGTTCCGGTCCGCGGGCCCTAAAAGCTTCGGGAACACTAATGTGCTGCATCTTTGGTATCTCTTTCCTTCCACGCATTTGCTCTTCAGACTCGTGATGCGGTACTCTTTTGTGTTCGTGACCTAATTCGGTGTTTGTGTGATTTATTTTCCAGGAAATGTACCACAACCCTGCCTTCTCGGCGCGTGACAGTCCGTTGCCGACGCAGCAAGCCGCATCGTCCACCAATTATTACCAAAACGTTGCAGAATTGCGAGCTGGAGGCAGACACGTGGAGTATCAGAGTGACGCTGTGCAGTACCAACTGAACTCGGGTTACATTGGCTCCTCGTCGGATCAGTCCGTGCCCCGGTCTGTTTCTGCGACGGGGTTCGGTCGTCAGTCGCAGCAGTCGAGTGTCCCGGCGATGCAACCCTCGAGCCATTCTGGTAAATTGCGTTGTGTGTATTGAGCATTTAAATCGCACGGTTACGATGCCGTACTCGTTTTGATGGTTGATTGATTGATTGAATCAATTATTATCGATGCGTGCTTGGATTCTCTTTCTGTGTACAGTACTATGCTCTAGTGCGACACTTTGAGTGTTAATTTTATTTACCTTATTTTGTGACAGTTGTACCGAGTGTGCGCTGAATTGAGAATTTTATTTGCACAACCGCAGTACTCATTTTGATGATGTGATTGCTTGATTGATTGGTTGGTTGGCGACGCGTGGTTGGACTGCCATTTTCTTTGTCTGTGTATACGAGTGTGAAATTGGGAGTGTTACGTTTTATTGACATTATTGTTGAAGTGTTGGATTCAGTGTTTTTCGGGTTCGTTTATTTGGTCTAGTACAGTGTTCCCCAACCTTTTTGGATCCGCGGACTGGCAAATTTTTAAAGTTTTTTTTTTTTCTTTTTCTTGGGAGACTTTTTTGCAGGCCCATCGAAATATTTGAATTTTTGCCGTGGTCCTTCAACCAATACATTTAGTACAAACCTGTCTGAATTCTCCAGACACGCACATTCACGCGGAGTGTCTTGAAATTCCTGTGAATTTTAAGCGGTTCTTATTGTTGAAGTGGAAGAGATCAGACTATTATTTTTTATTTTAGTAAAATGTTTTCAGGTCCAAGAAAAACTAGAATAAATTATTTGCCTCATGCATCTGGAGGATTTCGGGCAAAATTAGGTTTGAGTGCTCGTTTCTTGACTTCTTTGTTCGTTCAATTGAAATATCAAGAAAAGCTTCAAGGGACATACTGTAATAATATTGCTCCTTGTCTTCGAAATTGTTCCGTGGAATTGTGCTATTGGTTTTCAGCGCACGAGATGTTTTGAATGTAGAGGTGCACATTTTTTAAAACGTTATATGCGAATAACGTTAATGAGCAGACTATCGATAGAAATAATGTTGAAGGTTCACTTTGCATTCAAAGTTGATAATTTTGATAAGACTTTATTACTACCTTTGATAAATTTCTTAGTTTGAAAATGTCTTTCGTAAAGTTACGAGCATTTTAGGATTAGGAAAGAGAGCGGAACAATTTAGCCTTGGGCATGATTTCACGGTTCTGAATTTCAAACAGTGAAATTTTTTTGTTCCTGAAAAAATTACCTGAAAGCTGCCTGAATTGAAGCTTTTGGAATCGTGCCTATTTTTCCGTTGATTAACATTTTCGTGGTGAAAATTTTGCATCAACGGAAAAGAAGGAATTCTTTGTTGGAACAATTTTCGCCGACTTTTGCGTCATTAGTCCTTTGCTTTCGTTTGGGTTCTCATTTGGGAAATGGTAATTTTTTTAAATACGCGCAATTTTTTCCTTGGGATAACAGTACCTCTCAGAAAATTCATTTTTCTCTTTTCCAGCGGTCAGGATTTTCTAAAATTGCACAAAATATCGTTAGGATAACTTTTAAAGACGGGTGGTCTTGAGTTGATCGACCATTGGTTTTTTTTCTGGCTGTTGAACAAAAAAAATACAGTCGAACCGCTTTCAAGTCAAAGGGACCAGCAGAAAAATCGAGTTAGGAAAAATTAGCATTTGTGTTCGGGGGGGGGGGAAGAATTGCCAGAGATTGTAATTTGTGATATTCTGGACCTTAAATTTGTTATTAAATGAGTTGATAAGAGGCTGAACTTGGAAGCAAGAGTTAATTTTCTCAATTAATCATTCACTTCTTTTCAAAACGCATCAAGTTACATTATTGATGCTTTTCTCTTTCCTGTGTCAATAAAATGTTAGCCAAAAGGCCTCTAGGAAATCTGAGTTATGGAGGTTTGAGGAGCCTTTAATTTAGTGAGGTTTTTAATGCATTCTTTTTGAGTGATTTCAAAAAGAGACTAGAAGAAAATTTTACATAGGGAGATATTCAACCTATTGAGGTTCATGTGTACTGTGGGGTCTCAGATAACAAACTTGATCCATTTCTGAGCTTTTTTTTTTTAGCCGAAACACTTTTTCACTAAAGAAAGTACCAGTGGTACCTTGCAATTCAACCACCCTGCAATTCATCCGTCCTGCAATTTGATGTCTGATTTTGCTGGGAGGTTGACTTGCAATTTGACCCATGTAGAGATGCAAAGCATGTAGTAAAATGTAGAAAGCATCAAATTTGCCATTGTCTTGCAATTTGACTGCTTCACAATTCAACAACCAAACCCAAATCCACTCAATGACATTTTAATCACTTCAGAGCAGGAAAGCACAAATTGATAACAAAAATAAAAGAAAATACAATACAACAAATATAACTGAACATCTGACATGTATGCATACATCCATTCATTCCCTGACATTGGTAACAAAATATATTTAAAAATTAATTCAAAGGGCAAGGTCTTCAGCTTGTTGCTGTATGAGGTTTAGTTGAATGAAAAAATTACAGAGAATTTTTGATGAGAAATCATATAAAGCCAACAATTTATCTTGATCCTTTAAGATTTCAGAAAGGGTCTCTTCATTGAATTCTCTGAAGTGATTAAAATTCATATAAAGCCAACAATTTATCTTGATCCTTCAAGATTTCAGAAAGGGTCTCTTCATTGAATTCTCTGAAGTGATTAAAATGTCATTGAGTGGATTTGGGTTGCATGGGTAGGGGGTTTGGTTGTGGAAATCTTCAGTGAACCTTGTGAATGCTGAAAAGCGGCAAAGAAAGTGTTCTGTTCATTCATTCACAATTCAACCCAAGTCAAGCAATGGATTAGCGCCAAATTGCAGGGCACCACCTGTAAATGAATGATTTCAATTGGTTCCCCATAACCTGAAAAAGGCCAATGAAAATGAAGAAAATTTATTTTTAAAAATTCTCACATTAGGCCTAAAATTCAAGAACTTTTTGTGAGAAGATATGAAAGAAAGTCACTGAAGTGATGAGGAAGGTAGGATGTAATAATAATGATAGAATAAACTTTGGCCAGACGACAGCTTTTCGTTGTAATCCTCATTTTAACCTGTTTTCCTTCTAGTGAAAGCTGATGCTAATAATAGTCGAAATCTGACAACGAAACGCAGCACTTCCTGGTTGTGTGAAATCTGCCGCAGAAATTTCCTGTCCACGGCGTCTCGCGTCATATTCTGGTTTCCTCTTTTTTGTTCTCCTTTTTTTCTGTTTGAAAGCCTCGTGTTACGCGACGGGATTATGGGACTCTTTTGTAAGGGCTTCTATTTTCAATTACTGAGTGTTTCGTCGAAGTCCTGAATGTATATCCCCCCGCTTCTATCTCTCTCTCTTTCTCTCGTCCAGTCGACTGAATGGAACGCGCGTTGTTACGAGGTTCTGCGCGAGGAATTTCACTTTACGGTCTTCGCACCGGGTGTTCGCATACCCAGCCTATATACTGTGGTTGTGTTTCATGTGCCGAAGGGGAATGAGGCACTTGCTCTGGTGCTTTCGGAGGGTTCTGTCCGAATATTGCTCTGCATTGCAAATGTGTCGGCTGTTGAAACCCCTAGTGTCTTTCAGTTTTCCGATCGGATTTAATCCCGCCTCTGTGACGTTCGAATATATTTTGTTTTTTCTTTTCTTTGATGAGCAGTAATTAATGTTACTCTTTTTTTCCAGATTCCAGTTTACGCCCTGCGCAGCGAACGGAAGACGTCATGTGGAAATCGGCAAATGGGAACTCTGCGTGGAATGTGAGTGGTGTTGTGTATCAGTGGGGGCCCCGAGATGCGGACGTACAATTCCTGCTTGGACCTTGTTGTCCCAGTGTCTGAGCATTCATGTGTCGGATCACGTTTTCCCATATTCTGTAGACTTCAATGGGGACATGGTTAATTGGTTCTCTCTCCTGTTCATACAAAATTAGGAATGGAGTCCCTGGACCATTGAATAAAAATGCTTTCCTCTCAACTCTAAGATACAGATAATAAGTGTGCTGAAGAAAACGGCACAGAATCTGATCTTTTGGCATCAGAAGGGGCTCAAGAAGTGAAGAACAAGAACAAATCTAGCTATACTTGGTACACATGAGTGAAAAAACCATAGGAAAGAAGCATCCGTTTTTGTTATGAATCGGAGTAATTTTATCATGCAATTTACTCTTAATCTTTGTGAGTATAAATAACTGAATTTGTTGAAGAGATATCAAAATTTAGAAAAATCGAATTTGGAAAAATGTCCTCATCTCAAGACATTGTCCAGATTTTAGGACAAATGAGTTTCTTAGTTTCAAGCGTCCTTAAGTCAAATTATTCGTTTTTTGGGGTTCTACGTTTATTTTCTTATTTAATTTTTTTTCTTACGGTGATGATTTTGAAATTTGTGAGATTTTTCTCTTGGTTAAGCTGCCCCTGCAATGCTGCATGCATATGCCTATCTGTCAGCCCACATCCAAGGTATGAAAATGAAGTTAGGATTTTTATGACGTCTGTCCTTCGTCGTGTTTCTTTATGACACGTATTGGCATGATTTTCGGTTAAATTATTTATCGAGTTGGGTCGGTTATTAGTTAGGTTTTTCAGTTATTAGTCAAGTTTGTCATATACTGTATAAGTTTGGTTTGTCAGTTATTATAGTTAGGTTTTTTAGTATTTAGTAAGGTTTCAGGCCAGGGTTAGCCTTTGAATTTCTCAAGACACTTCTGACTCACGATAGCCCAATAAATATTGAAATTGTGTCAAGGGGCTCTTCCGTAAATCATTTTCACCGACACTTCTTATAGGTAGACTCTCTCCATTCTCTGTACCGTGGATTTCTGCGCATAACGAATTTTTTCTTGGTCACATCAGGGTTTCTGTACCTATCTCATAGTGGTTCTCTGCAACGGATTTTTGTCTATGGCGAAATTTTTTTTTCTGGTCCCTTGACGTTTTCGTAGATGCAGACCACCTGTACATATTTCATAAATGATTTTATCAGTCTTCAAAAAAACTCCCAACACCTTGTTGACTGTTTCACAAATTACTTTAAGCCGGTGGACTCTGTAAGGGAATTCGTTGTAGAGAATCTATTTGACGTGGATACGAGAACCCGAAACGGACAAAAAATAAAAACGTTATGCAGAGAAAATCGCTTTAGACAAGATTTTTGTAGAGAGAGTTCACCTGCAATAGTCTTAGTACTGTATTTCATTTTTGCCCCTGTCCCCTACTTCATAGTTTTATGTTGCGTGTAGATTTTCTCTTTTACTTTCAAACCTGGAACCTGGAGAAAGCGAATGCAGAAATATTATGACACACTGGGTAACTTCTTTTGTAGGTACTGTATCAGATTAGGCTAATTATGTCGCAGGCATCAAGTGAGGTTAATTTGTTTGTGTGTGTACTGTATAGGGTTGGGCTAGTTGTTACTTCGACCTAAATTTATGCTAGTTTTTGATGAGTTGGATTCATTGGATGTTGGGTTGGAATAAATTGGGTGTTTTTACGTAGTGAAAGTAATATCAGTCAAGTTGCACACGTTGAAAATTCCTGGGATGGAAAACATTTTAGTTTTTTTTTTCGACGAGGAAGTACAGTACTGGAAAATGAGTAGCTGACAAGTATCACGTGGTCACGGGTTCGAGGTGATTTAATTCGTGTCTCGGTTTCTTTCTTTTTTTTCCGGTCCAAGAAGCAGGATAAAATGTACGGTGGTCAGAAGCAGGATCCCTTCATCGGCAACGGTTATCAGCCGCCGCAGCCGTGGTCTGACGACGCCGCGAAGGCGTCCCGGTCTCGCTCCGTGGAAGACTTGCAGCAGCAGCAGCCACCGCATCACATGTCCCATCATCCGCACAACGCGTCCTCGTCTGCCCTGATTCCCGGCATTCAGCAGCAGAAAGTGATCTTGCCCAGTGTGCAGCCACAACAACAACAACATCAGCAGCAGCAGCAGGTGCTCCAGTCGACCCGACAACGCGCTTCCGGCCAGTACCCGACGGGATCCCAGCAGAGACCCTCGTCCCAGCCCCCGCCGCCTCCGTCGCAAGTGCCCAGTAGTGCCGTGGGCCCGAGGGCACGGCTGCCGGCAAGATCGGATTTTGCGCCGCACGGCCACGTTGTTTACCAGAGTCAGGCCAAGTGAGGAAAATACATTGTATGCTATATAAGACGAGTGTTTCACAGGTGGACTCGGGAGTCTCCGCGACGAAATTCAAGGGACCAGAAAAAAAAAACTTCATTGTTTTGTAGAGAACAACCATACGAGGGTTGTCCCACTTGGGCACGACCTTGATTATTTCTCAAGTAGATATGACTGTAAAAAAAAATACAGTTAACTCTTGTTGCGAGAAAATCTCAGGGCTCTGTGGAAAAATTTGTTTTCATGATTCTTGGTGCATTTCGGTCTGAACGTTTGAGTAAATCAGGTAATAGGTGATTTAAAAAGCACTTCCACAACAGATTAGTCATTATTTTCACATCTTGATCATGAAATAATAAAAGGAAACTTCAAGAAGTTTAATACAATTTGCTCATTCTAAACCTGCCCTGCTTTGAATTTTCTAAAATTGTCTCGATCTTACTGGAGCATGAACAAACAAAAATATGTATGCGTCATAGGCGCACTTGTTCATTGACGATTGAATGCTCCCGGAAACGATGCTATATTCTTTCAAGCCTACTGTTTATATAAAAAAAACTGTAAGCATTTTTAAATCCTAAAATACAGCTAGAAAATTCCAATAGTAACATCGTGCTTCATGATTTCTTCAATTTGAAATTTTTGAAAAAACAAAGACCAGCGTTTTATCTTTGATGGATTTTCAATGCCGCGCAGGTATAATTTCCATTTTTCTACAAATTAGTAAAAATTCCTATGGCACACCAATTAGGCGAACATTTTATTTATACAGTGCTGAGATTGAAGGTGAAAATTAGTTTGTTGAAATTTGAATTTTATAACGTCTTTTACTTTGAAGAAACCGCTTGAACCCAAAAAAAATAGTTTTAAGAACATTTTAATATTATTGAGTGTACCTGTGGAGTGCATTGATAAATTCTATGAGATTTTGACACAAATTTCATCAAGGCTGAATAGATCTGGTTAAATTTTTATTCATAGATGAAAGTAGATTAATTGATGATTATTTGATTAAAAACATGGCATTTATTGGGTTTTTATAATGATTTCCATCTGGAACATGTTTGTATTCAGTCGACTCTTTCGAGATAAGCTTTATTTTTTACGAGATTTGGTTTATTCTTCGAATGATGTAATTATAGTCATTTTTCATAGTCATCAGTGATCCAATCTATCGTCAGTTTTGTCTTTGAAATTTGCCATCGGAGCTCAACGAATTCCATATCTGATGTGAGATCTCGGTACTTTCCTGTTATCTCAGTACCTACTTTCCTGTTATCTCTGTACCTTCCACACAAATCTTTAGGACGACTTCATAATCAAAATGACCTACCAGAAACTGTGAATTTTATTTTTCTGCATTCTGCTGAAACTGATTTTGTGAGGCGGTTAGGTAAAGTTAGGTTATGTTAATTGAAAGATATTTGTAACTAACATAACCTGACCTAACTAAGAAAATGATTTTGGGAGGCGGTTAGGTGAAGTTAGGTTAGGTCAGGTTAAAGTGGTCAGAGGGAAGGTACAGAGATAACAGGAAAGTAGTTACTGAGATAACAGGGAAGTACCGAGTTATCCTTGTTGAATGCTGGACAGGTATGGGATGATGAACTGTAAACACTTCGTTAAAGGCTCTCGATTTAATCAATATTTAATGATTACGTGGTCGCTAGAAAGATTGAGGGGAAAAAACGGTGTTGAAGTACTGTATATGTGATTTTTTTTTCTCCGTTTACTCGACAGTAATCAACCAATCTACGAAAACTTACCTCCGCCCGTGAAAAGATCCGGCCCGGTTGCGCAACCCGTGGACCCGGCTCCGTTTCACTCCAGTCAAGTAATGGGTACGTCACGCAATGGCCCGACCGTCAGCATCGGGCCGTGGCAGCAGCAAGGACAACCCTCGTCCCACGTACCAGTGGGCCACGGGTTCGGAGACCCTCGGCTCGTCGGCAACACCAACAACCCCGCCAATAATACCGGCCCACCGATGCTCAGCGTGTCGGGCAAGAAGAAATGCTCGCACTGTGGACGAGAACTCGGTGCGTCAGCCTTGAAGCGTATTTTGTCTGCGCATGATGAAGAATCCGACGAGAACTTGCATATTTGAAAGAGGATAAAAAACGACCAAATATTTCTCGCATTTAATTCAACGAATGATTTCTTTCTCCCTCATTATTATCGTCTGTGAAATTTTTAGCAGTGTGTGATCATCAAAAGAGAAAGAGGGAGATATTGTGTTCGAATTTTAACCTTGGTAGCTTTTAGATGGGCCTTGGGGTTATTCAATTGAAAGCGCATGTAGTTAAGCTAGAACGTATTCATATGTGCTTGTATACAGTAATTGATGATCGGGTAGAGACTTTTTTTTCATTTTAATGAAAATCGAGTGTACCTTACAGTACTGGATTGTGATATTTCAAGTTTTTGCTGCTTTCGTGAAAACGTTTGCTTTTGCCGAGCTTTAGGCAGGAATGTGTCCGACTGTGTTTCCCGGGGAAAAAGGCGGTTCTTGTTTTACCTTAATATGTTTTTGTATACTGAAAACACAAATAGTTTTTTTTTATTCTGTGCCGTATATAAATCAGAATTTACGCAAGTATTTTTTTGATGTTTGAAGGACTACGAGATTCGGATAATTCTCGGATAAACTTTTGGTTTAAGTTGAGTTTAAAATTTGGCCAAAATGTTATTTTCTGGTTTGTGTTTACAAATTTATGAACATGCAGTAAATTAATCTCCTGTCATGAATTTTGTTGGGAATTTTCTCGTTTTAGTTAAGATTGAATGAGCCAGAACAACTTAATATAGTACCGTGTTTGTTATCATTGAATTTTAGCTTACATTGTGGCATGAAAGTTATTCCCATAATTTTTCGGCCGTAATTATATTAGAATCTCTGGGACTTATATTTATGATGAATGAAGGACTTCACGACTTTTACAATTTTTGAATCAACCAAATTTTGAGCATGGTTTGCAGTTAACAAATGTATGAGCGTAAAATCTCCTGTACACAATTTTTTGGAAATTTTCTACGGTTCGAGTTAAATGAGTCGAAATACAGTAATTCAATACAGCGTTTTACAGTACTGTACCTTGTTCTTCATCGTTGTATTTTAGCTTATACTATGGCATGGACCTGAAAGTTATTCCGATATTTTTTCGGCCGTAGGCCAAGGAAATAAATTTTTGTAACTGTTTTCGTTTTAAATCCTATAAGTATTTTCGTAAAATTGTGTTCGCTCTTGTTAATCTTTTTTTTCACATTTCCGGGGAAACACGGTAGTGGGTCAGTGTGAAGAGGTGTGCTGTGACTGATGGCTTTCATGGATTATATTTGTCGTGGGATATTATTAGGTCGAGGAGCTGCGATGATAGTTGAAAGTTTGCGGCTGTTCTATCATTTGGAATGCTTCCGGTGCTGCGTTTGCGAAGCTCCCTTAGGCAACGGGAAAACTGGAGCCGACGTTCGAGTTCGCAACAATCGCTTGCATTGTCACAATTGCTACTCAAATGAGCAAGGTTCGTTTCGATTCATTTTGACAAATTTGAGAGAAAAATGCACACGTAATTGGACCTCAATGACTTGAACCTCTCTGTGTCGAATTTTTCGAGTTTCTCCGAATTTCCTTGAAATAATTTTGAAAAAGAGAGCATTTAAAACCGTATTTTGAAATTTATGGAGGCCTTTTGGCCATCATTTTATTGACACAGGAAAGAGAGAACGAATAAAAATGTAACGGTGTGTTTTGAAAAGAAGTATGAGACTATTCGGGAAAATAAACCCTTGCCTCTAAGTTCAGCATCCTATCAACTCATTCCACATAATGTGGGATTTTTAAACGTCATCTTCGATTAAGCAATGACCGCAACACACAAATTTTCGTTTCCCTAACTCTAATTTTCGCAGATCCTTAGAAGCTCAAATTGAACAGTCAATTGACTGCATCTTTATTTTCACCCCACTGTTTTTGACGCAGTTCTTCTGTTTGTTTTTTTTTTCGCAGGAGTGAAGTTCAGCAAGGTATGAAGATCGGAATCCGGAGTTTCATGTGTTTGATGAGTCTGAATTAGACAGGAAGAGTAGAGGCTGGATGAGCTGGTTTTGTTTTTTTGTGTCTAATGCTTCCGGTGCTGCGTTTGCGAAGCTCCCTTAGGCAACGGGAAAACTGGAGCCGACGTTCGAGTTCGCAACAATCGCTTGCATTGTCACAATTGCTACTCAAATGAGCAAGGTTCGTTTCGATTGATTTTGACAAAATTTTCCGAAAATTTGAGGAAAAATACACACGTAGTTGGACCTCAATGACTTGAACCTATATGTGTCGAATTTTGCGAGTTTCTCCGAATTTCCTTGAAATAATTTAAAAAAGAGAGCATTTCAAACCGTATTTTGAAATTTATGGAGGCCTTTTGGCCATCATTTTATTGACACAGGAAAGAGAGAACGAATAAAAATTTAACTGTGCTTTTTGAAAGGAAGTATGAGACTATTCTGGAAAATAAACCCTTGCCTCTAAGTTCAGCATCCTATCAACTCATTGCACATAATGTGGGATTTTTAAACGTCATCTTCGATTAAGCAATGACCGCAACACACTAATTTTCGTTTCCCTAACTCTAATTTTCGCAGATCCTTAGAAGCTCAAATTGAACAGTCAATTGACTGCATCTTTATTTTCACCCCACTGTTTTTGACGCAGTTCTTCTGTTTTTTTTTCGCAGGAGTGAAGTTCAGCAAGGTATGAAGATCGGAATCCGGAGTTTCATGTGTTTGATGAGTCTGAATTAGACAGGAAGAGTAGAGGCTGGATGAGCTGGTTTTGTTTTTTTGTGTCCAGCTTTCTTTTGGTCCGACAGTTTTCGGAGTCCAATTACTAGTCATCTCTTCCGTACCGTGTGTTTTTTTTGTTTTTTTTTGCTTTCACGTTGTGTCGACATTGCCTGAAAATGGCTTCAGGTCTTCGGATGATTTGGTGGCTTGTAGCAGCAAAAAATTCTCGGTCCATCCCACGTTGATCTTTTTTTTTTTTCTTTTTCAACTGACTGTGGCCTTCAAACTTCGTCCTATGCCTGTTCTTCCGCTAATGTGATTTTTATTTGTATCGATATTTTTTTTTATTTCCTGCGCGAAAGTTGAGATTGTGATGACTGCTGATGCATATATATATATTTTTTAGGACGATGAGTGAATCGTTGCGGGAAAACAGTAATCTGCGTGTGCATGTAGCGTAGTTCTCACGACACTAATGGCCGAACGTAGGAAAACTGTAGAACGGTTTGCGGGGATTTATTTTTTTTTTGGGTCTCCGCATCTCGTTTTCCGTGGTTTCAATTTTTTAAAGAACCAATCAAATGCGGTTAAGTTTATTTCTACAATGACTTGGTCGCGTGAATGACATGAGACGGGAAGTGCTCCGTGACTTAATCGGTGAGGAATCGGATTTTGCTTTCGGTTTATACGTAATGATGCGCGTAAATCCTGTCTCGATATTGGGATACCGTCTCTGGCAGTGCCAAAACGAAAAAAAAAAAATGCGACATTCTTTTACTGCTGGAACAACGGAATGCTCACTTGCCTCACTGCATTGTTATATTTCGTGCCTGATCTTTTTTTTCGGATTTGGGGAAATGAAATTCAACGCCATGAATCACGGTGGTTTTGTTTCGGTATTCATTTGTCGGTGTGACCATTTGATCAAATTATCGTAGCTTGATCATTTCTGCATTCATAGCTCGCCAAGTTAGGTATGGTACGTCCGTCAGCAGTTTCAAGATTCCATGGATAAAGCTATAGGTGATTGAGCTACTTTTCGACCTTCAAAAATTTTTTCAAAATAAGCAATCCCTTTCAAGGTATTTTTCACTGTTGGGAACAGCCAGGAGGCACAGGGTGCCCAATCAGTTAACATCAGAACTTGATTTTTGCACTGTTTTGATCATTTGATTTATTGTTTGCTAAAATGCACTGAAATTGGCAGAGAGTATGTTGAACAGCCCTGAATTGTTACCAAATGATGGGGCTAGTAAGCAATTTTTTTTTATTTGTTGAAACTCTTTTGAATCTATTTCAAAAAGTCTCAAACTTATGAACCAACCCTTTTACTTGCTAACATTCAGAATCATAATTGGTTGGAATTCTTCAATGGAGGTTATTTTATTTGTGATTCAGTATTTATTCCAGTTGTTTGATTGTTCATTGTTTTTTCTCAACTTCACGAATTAGTGTATTCAAGATTCGATTTTAATCAACAGTATACTTGTATGTTCGTGACGCTATAATGAAGAGGGTAAAAGTGGAACTCGCTATAATTGACAATAATTGTGACAATAAAGGCTACTTTTTGGATGTGGATAACCATGAACTTCCCTTTCCTTATTCGATTTTTGACGTATAAGCTGATGCAGAATCATTGGGTCATATGATCTCATGAATGGTAGGATCCATTTTTATAGAATTCATATTCTTATACAATACCAAACTACTGTACTGAGTAATCAACACTTCCTAGGAACAAAACATGATTGTATACCACCTACTTGCTTGCGCGTTGCGTATATCAATGCTGTATTTCACCCCTGCAAACTTCCAAAGCCATTCCGGTTTGATTGGACGGGTGAATGCCCTCTGAACTTGGTGATAAAACCCAATAGAATTGCGTCATGCAGAGGCTAGCCAATCAAACTTTTTTGATTCAAACTATACACTTCCATCATTGCTGAATGCATGACGACTGGTTGCTATTATTCGGATGCAAAAAATCTTGGTGTTAACTGTGGAATAATTAAGTGAAGTAAATGCCTCTGCTGCATTACATATAATACTGTGTACAATACTACTGTACTTCACTGTATAATACTGCAAAAGTATTCCCATCTCACTAGTGACATCTATGCTAAGCCTGTGACAGTGAACTTTCCTTCAAGAAATTCCGCCTATGTAGAGTGTATGTCTCATGCTTTTTTTTACCATTGGACTTGTCTGTCTCATCTAGTCATCTGCTGTTACACAAAGGGAAAAGGAAAAAAGATTAAATAGTACTGTACCTACAATTCTAAATTGATTGTATTTCTCGGATGATTTTAACCCATTAACTGTCAAATTTCTTGCCCACATATTTTCATTTGATTCAACTCAATTTACATCTAATAGATAGGCTGGGAGCATTTTTTACAATTTGAAAGTCAAATTTGAGGTTTGGAGCTGAAAGAGGTTGAGAAAGCTCTACATCTGTAAAATCCCCTTGCCAATTAATCAGCCTTGATTTTTTCTTCAATATGATTATTATTGTTGACTTGTTCATGAGTCTTCAACTCTCCATGGCCAGACTTTCCATCTTATAGCTTAAGTCATGGCAAAAACCACCAAATTCAAGGTCTTGTTATGATTGAGAATAGAGCATGCCCCTCAAAATAATTTACTTTCATTTTTCACTGTCATGCAGTTCTGTTTCAAAAGCCCTTTAGAACCACAGACTTTTAGGCAATGTTTTTTTCAAAATTTCAGAAAGTAAGAAGTTCATTATTGTTAAGTGAAAGAAATGGCATTTCTGATTGTCTAATGAAAAAGACAAATGAATAAGAGCAAAAAAGCAAGGCATTGTCCAACAGAAAATCATAGGAATCATTCTTGTATCATCCAACATTTTAAAGAAAGATCTCAAATGTTTTTAGAGGAATAAGGAGTACATCTCATTGGATTCATTCAAGTTCAAAGGAACCAGTTAAGCAAACCAAAATATCAAATAGATGTATGGCTAGCACAACATTTTCCTGGGATCTTCATTTAATTCAGGAAGTGGGGATGCACCAATAAGCATCAAAACCATATCAGATAAACTTGGAGATACATATCAAATACACTCAGAGGTTTCAGGAGCATTTCAGATATGCTTCTGTATATGCATATATTTTGCCAAGTGTACTTGACATATACACATCACTCACATGACATCAACACTCACAATCCACATGGACAAAACACTGCAACCAAAACCAGATTCAAACCTGCTTGTTGAGTTGGACCTGGGCAGCTGCTATATGTGCCAGCCACAGATTGGGCTTGTGTGGACTCAAACAGACTAATGAGTCCACTCAAGCCAAATCATTGCCACCACCTTTTGGGCTTGTGCAGACTCACAGGGACTTGTGAGTCCACACAAGCCCAATCTTTGGCACTACTTTTTGGCTATGCGTGGGCTATTATTCCACACACATCCAAGGAAAAGGAGTTGTGTTGGGGCTCAGCAGATGTGTATGGACTTGCAGTCTGGGCACATCCAGAAAATGTACAGTAGGGTTGAGAACTGCAGACAAATGTAGAGTGAGAACATATGAAATATAAATGCAGGCATAATTTGGATGTATTTAGGAGAAAATTTAAAATTTGGAAACTTTTCAGCTCCAAACCTCTTTAGCTCCAAACCTCTTCAGCTTCAAACCACTTCAGCTCCAAACCTCTTCAGCTCCAAGCCTTTTCAGCTCCAAACCTCTTTAGCTCCAAACCTCTTCAGCTCCAAACCACTTCAGCTCCAAACCTCTTCAGCTCCAAGCCTTTTCAGCTCCAAACCTGTTTAGCTCCAAACCTCTTCAGCTCCAAACCACTTCAGCTCCAAGGACTTTTCAGATCTAAACCTCTTCAGCTCCAAACCTCTTCAGCTCCAAACCTTTTCAGCTCCAAACCTTTTCAGCTCCAAACCTTTTCAGCTCCAAACCTTTTCAGCTCCAAACCTTTTCAGCTCCAAACCTTTTTAGCTCCAAACCTTTTCAGCTCCAAGCCTTTTCAGATCCATACCTCTTCAGCTCCAAACCTCTTCAGATCCAAACCTCTTCAGCTCCAAGCCTTTTCAGATCCAAACCTCTTCAGCTCCAAGCCTTTCAGATCCAAGCCTTTTCAGATCCAAACCTCTTCAGCTCCAAGCCTTTTCAGCTCCAAGCCTTTTCAGATCCAAGCCTTTTCAGATCCAAGCCTTTTCAGCTCCAAGGCTTTTCAGCTCCAAACCTTTTCAGCTCCAAACCTTTTCAGCTCCAAACCTTTTCAGCTCCAAACCTTTTCAGCTCCAAACCTCGAAAAAGAAAAACAAAAGTACCTTTTTTCTCAAACACCAAGCAATCCATCCAGCTGCCAACCCGAAAACCGTCAGACTAAGGCCACTAATCAGGCCTACAGCCAAATTCGAAAATAATTCGGTGGCGAACTCTGCACCCAAAACCGCTTTTCCCTCGACAACTGCCACCGTAATGTTGGCTCGATCCCCAGAGACGATTTTAGTTTCAGGCAGGTTCTTTAGCACTGAGACGATGATGGAAGGCTTAACTGTAACTGTCAAAACCGAACTCCAATCATATACACTGGCTAATGTTTAAAAGGCTATTCCCAAGCTCTTACCAGGAGCTGGAGTAGTGTGTGTTGTTGTTTCAGTGGTCGGACCCGTCGTCAGCACGTTTACAACCGTCGATGAAGCCGAAACAGCATCTGGAATGCTAGTCGTGGCGCCGAGGTCTGGGACAGATGTCGCCGTCATGACACGAGAAGTCGACGCTTCCAACGTCACTGTTACGGAAGACTTCGTCAGTTCCACCGTAGACGGCAGAAGTGAAGAAGACGGCAATTCCGTCGTACCTCCTTGACCGATGCAAAAGTCAACGGGATCCACCAGCGACGCTCGAAAATTGCCCTCGCACCGAGTCGGCCCCAACAATTCCACTTTCTGAACAACACAAGCAAGAAAGTTGCAAGAAAAACACTTCAAACCGGTTTTTCTACACCACAAACCTTGATTCCAAAGAAATCCAGACAGCCGAAGTCCAGAACTTGCCCCGTCAGGACGATCCGGCCATCGAACTCGGCCGCTCGGACCGCGTCCGCATCACACGTCTCTGTGCAATGCAGTCGGCCATCTTGCACCGAACACCTGCCGTATGACACATCTGGATGGTAGTAGTCCTGGTGGTTGTCGTGCCTGTGACGTTTGTGACGGTAAGAACAACTGACAAATTTTATAAGTCTTTCTACGTGATTCATCAGAACTGATCCGAGTTAGTTAAGGAGTCTAAGGGAAATCACCTTTTCGTTGAGATCTAACTAACCGAACGGTGAATCTGCCCGAAACTCGCAGGAAATCTTCTTTGAGTGACCTAGAAACGAACGAACCGTTTACTTTTTTGATTTCTGTCCGCGTTTCGCGTAAAATTCGATCGTTTCGCGTATCTCGCGAACGAAATCCGCGAACAAAAAACGCGAAATTCATCGCGAAAAACGAATCAAAACCGCCGGAAAACATTGGGAATGGGAAGTTAAAGTAATATTAACGGGAACCAAGCGAAAAAACACTCAATTTGAACAAAAATTTGACAAAGTGGATTTTACAATAGGGCTTAAGGGGGTCAAGAGCACATACCTGCAAGGGGGTGCAAGGTGAACTGAGGTACAGGCATAACAGTGCCAGACCTCTGCAGCTTCCTGGTGAACCTGAAGAAGTTAGGGGAGGCATGTGTGGTTGTTATTACCACTGTAATTGCTCCCCCATGAGAACGTTTTCCTGTGTAATGTCTTTCAGCATGGCTGAGACGTGATCAGGGGAGGTGTGGGAATCGAACGAAAATTCGATCCTTTTTCCCGCTGACTGAAACACTTTGAGAAAACTTGGTACGCAGGAGCTTTTTCTCGTTTACCAGGGGAGATTTGTAGTCATATTTACGACCACAACACCCTTCACTTTACGCGTGACCCTTTTAAGCTAATGTATTTCCGCTACGCTTGGCTGCGCCTGGCGCGCTAGTAATTATATTTCCCAATCCCGTTGTTGACGGAATTCTTTCTCAACCGCGCTCACGCTTCCTTCCTTTAAAGAAACGAAGCGTGACGTCCCCGATCCCAATCGGCTCTCTATGCGCGTCCCGTGACCGTGGCCAGCTGAGGCTATATATACAGGTGCATTTTATGTTGCTTTAAGTTGATCGCACCAGACCTTGTCCGAACGCTGACTCTACGCCGCTTTGCTCTGTAGAACGTATTGTTATCGACTGTGTGTGAAGATTAATAAATATCATTTTGAAATACTCTCACGGAGTAACTTTTGCGTTTCTCTCGAAAGTCGCGGAAAACGACTTAAATCTCCGATCCCCTTTTTCCTTTAATTATTAGAAAGAGTCCTCAACGACTGATCATCGTTGATTCCTCATTCGTAAAATAGTTTTTGGATAACAATATGCTTCCACGATTTCCATTTCTAGGCTTTCTAAAAGGTTTCTTCTGAAACTACCAAAAAGGGTCTTCTGTAAATTACTGTATTTCTAAGATAACAACCTCTTCAGCTCCAAACCTCTTCAGCTAAAAACCTCTCCAGCTCTATGCTGAAACTTTCAAATAAACATAAATTCCGCTCAAGGATATCAAGATGGATTAAACAACTGTTCAATAGTTGGTGAACATTGTTTGGAAGACAGAAACATTTACCAAGCAAAAATATTGAAAAATGCTCATTTTCTTTTTCATTTACTGATGTCTGTATGTTTGACATTTAGAGCAAATACCCAGAAAATGATTCACCTACATTTTCCCCTTTATTGCACCAGTCTCACATAGGTGGCAGTCTCTCAGGTTGTATTATGGGTATTGGTTCAAAATTGTATGAGTGATCACAAGTAAAAGAGGCCATGTTGGAATATGTGCATTTTATGGGTGAATGTGTAGAGCAGGCATATTCCTGTTATGCCTGCTATGTTAATGGTAAAAGGAGATACGTATATTGTATGTTGAATGTGGTATCACGCCCATATTTCTGAATATGGGTGATAAATGAACAGTGCAGCAATTGACATTCTGGTGGAGCATGGATTTAAAACCAGAGTACAACTCCTAATTTGTGTGGAGCAGGGCATTGAAAATTTGGAGGGGCACATTGAAAATTTGTATAGCAGCTCATACATTGTTTAGAGCAGAATTGTATAAATACTGCTTTCACCTCTTTAACTTTGTCCAGAACAATGCAATGAAAATTGAGTGCCAGTATATTATTTGGAGCATGATTAAATTACTACTGCGTGCAATCCTCTTAATTGCATGGAGTGACACATTGAAAATTTGGCACAGCTAAAAATTTGAAAGGAATATTTTCTTTCATACCATATTTTTTATGCATACACACACACACACCCCAGCAGTAGGACAGACAGCAAACACACAAGAACAGACATGTACACACAATGACAGACTCAGAAATTAACAGCACAATTCAAGAAAAAATTTTCAGACACTCCACAGACTTGAAGCAGGACTCCATATGAACCTAAAGTGCACTACCATAACCAATAAGCTATTCAGACAAGATGATATATCCAAGCTTTAGTGCACAGCTATATTATACAGTCCCTCTCATACAATACCAAAGTGAAATTTAGTGCCACCCTTGCTTTATAGAGTGTCAGAAAATGTGCTCAAAATTTTCAAAATGTCATGGCTTGTTGCAATATTCAGCAGGGCTTAGCTGTACAACATTGCACAGCCACACTGCACTAAACAAGAAAAGTGTGGCATGGCTGTATAATGTTTTATGGCCATGCCAAGGTTAATATTCAGTGCAGCATGGCTGTACAATTTTGTACAGCCCAGCACTACATTGAGGATATTGCATGGTGGTACAATGTTCTACACCTCCTCTGCCCTAAAACAGGATAGCACATGGTTGTGCAATTTTGTAAAACCATGCACTATCCTCAGGTGCACTATTAAGGATAGTACATGGCTGTACAATGTTGTACAGCCATACTGCACTAAAATAGCATAGTACCAGGCTGTACAATGTTTTTCAGCCATGCTGCAAAAGTTTGCATGGCTGTACAATGTTCTATTGCCATGTGCTATCCTTGGGGAAATAATTTATTGGGTGATGAAATAAATCTCCAAGTCAATTATTCACTCCAGGAAGAGTAAAATACCTTGCATTAATCCCAGAGGTTAACCACTGTATTGGAAAATAAATAAATGAATCAAATTGATTTGTTTGAGCATTCATTATAATTATTCCACTTCATGAATTTTTAACAAACAGGATGCAGCAAACTGTTATTTCAATGACAATTTGGAAAACACAAGCATCTACTGCTGCATAATCAGGATGCATTGTCAACCAGCTTTCAAAGAAGTACAGTGGGGTTATAAGATGCAGACATAATTGGTTCTTGGACCCTATCCCTATTATGTCAGAATGTCTGCAAGTCAGATCATGTTTTTCCATAGGTTTCAAGTTGAATTCATTTAATTTATTCTTCAGTTGGTCAACATTTTTCAAAAATTTCCCTAAAAATTGAATAAATCTCGAGTCTTAATTTCAAGATACAGAAAATAACAGTAAAGCAGAAATATTGTAAGACATTCTGTTCTTTTGGAATGAAAAGGTGTCCAAAAACTAAAAAATGAACATTTTTCCAGTCTTCTGTACAGTTCATTAAAAATCTCTTGAAAAGTTTAGCATAAATGACAGTTTTGGATTAGGAATTGAAGTAAGTTTATGACAAGATACATTTTGGGTTTATTCTCTGTAGAAAGAACTCAACTTGCTCCAGTTATATGAACATTTTTAAAATTAAAATTTTGAATTTTTATAAAATTATTGTGAAATCATCTTGAGACAAAGTTCAGATGCCAGGGCATTTTTTATGAGTTCTGAAGTGTCAGTAGATGAGCCAAATCACCCAGAAGTTAGGCTGTTGGCATGTCAGGGCTTCCCTGACTTCTGAATGGAATCCAAGATGAAGGTTTTCAGATCACTGAACATCCAATTTCTACAATATTCATTGACCAGGACCAACTCCAAACAATCCACTGCTGAGAGAGATAGAGAGAGACCAATCAAACAAATTTTTAAAAAATCAACCACATCAAACTTTCCCACTTGCCATTGTTTGTCACCAGTGAACGTCTTGAATTCTCAAATCCCCTCCATCATGGACCCTCTCTTTATGCTTTGAAGACAAAATAACATTCAATATATTGACCAGGAAGCACACCACTTCGAAAACAGTGATGCCACACACTCCCAGGTAAATCCCTGCTGCCCCTCCAAGCTCTGCCATGATGGTTGACAGCTGAAAATGATTTTAAAAAACACTGTACCATTTTTTAAACCATTGATTAATCAAATTTCCTCCTACGGAATACTTCTTCCTTTCAGTTACTTCCTGTTGGTTCAGGGTCTGGTAGTAAACCGCAATTTTTGCAAAATCTTCAGAAATCTCCATCAGTGGTATTTGTCTCGTCGAATTCACAGGCGATAGCTCAGCCTTGTATTTCTTCACCATGGTTTCCTGTACTTCCAAAGACTAAGTGTCAAATTCTTACTTGGTCTTTTAAAAATACTGAATGTACTTCAGTACCAACCAGGTAAGCGCTTGAAGGCCAGACAGAACTTGACGTCGTTATGTGAAAATGCACCGACCTGCAAATCAATACAGATTCGTGTATTTTGTTGTAAAGAAACTACATAAAACCATTATGCAAACCAAAATATTTTTATGCATAAAAACCCGTTGTATAGAGAGAGTCGTTTTCTATACTGAGTCAAGATTTACTTGATAGTAAAATTTCATAACCATGAACTCTGGGGAACTGAAAAAATTACTGTACTCATAACAAGAAAGTTGTTGTATCAAGATTCAAGATGTACAGTCTTGAAATCATTAATGTTGAGTGCAATTTGTGAGGAATGGGTGATACACATTGTGAAGTGCTTAACAAAATATAAAGTATAATTAAGACTTGTCATTATTTCCACCTCTATATGAAGAAATGCAATGGAAATTTTCAAATGAACCCCTCTTATTTTGAATCTGCATTGCATCAGATTTTTTACTGATGTGCTGATATTTTTGAAAAAAAATACAAAAACCAGATATGTAAAGTACTATCTTCCAAAGTCATTATTTAATTACTGTACAGTACATCCATTTGTTCTTTGAATAAGAGATGCATTCTTCTCAACATACTGTACTGTTCATTAAAAAAACCATTATTTCAAAATTCACAAGTGAGGCTAATATATGGAAATTCCCAGAAAAACATCCTGTACTCTTTTTGCAATAAACTGTATTAAAGCTCCTTTTAAAAAGCTTAGATGTTTCAATGAACTTTTAATGATGCAAAAGTTAAATTTTTTCAATTTTTTTGCAAAAATCCTCATTTTTTTCATTGATAGAAAAACAATTGTTATAATGCGATTTTAGCTAAATATTAGCTAGTAAAAATGAAATTCTTATAAAGTTCTTCCACTGTAAAAACTGTCGGGACCAACCAAAAATTTTATTATGAAAAATTCGCTATACCAAGATTTTTTGCAACGGAATTAGAGTGTATTTAATTTTTGTACCTTGTATCTCATCAGCAGATACAGAAGTAAAGTGTATATCTCACTTGCAGGGAAGGTTGCAGTTGCAACCAACGTGGTCATATTTGTCCCGATTCCTGAGCACGTTTTGAAAACAGGCTTTGTCTTGTCCTAATAAAAGAAATAGAAATACTTGATTGGTAAATACCCCCAACACTCTTTGGAGTTTTTAAATTTGGAACCATTTGAGTAGTCACACAGACGTTCGCTGGCGTTGGTTAAATTCCCTCGAAAGCGGAACATTTGCACAGAGTAGTAATCACTACAGTTGCACTGACGTAGGAGCAGCAGGTTGAAGCACAAGTTCTGACAATCCTGTGAAGAAAAAAAATCCGTGGTAAATTTTTAAATATTTCTTTAAATGAACGCGTGAATTAATCACCGTCTGAGAGTATATTTTGCCTTCGTCAAACTCCGAAGAAGTGGCACTTTTCGGAATCAAGGGAACCAACGGAGTCCTTTCCCAGCTCTCCCAACACTTGGACCTGTAGGGTGCTTTCAACCTGCGCACGTTGGACACCCTCAGGGCAAACTTGGTTTCTCTGTTGGGGCTGACAAAGTGCCCTTCTTCAATGGGTTTTGGCAATACCCCGGGGTGTGTGATCCCGACTCGAGCTCCTGTTCCTGAGCCCACTAGGGAAGGGCAGTATTCCTCATTCCCGAATCTTATTTCTAATGTTAAGCCTGGAATGAGAGAATGGCCACGATATAATTAATACAAGTCTATAATTTGTACTGGTGTACATTATACAAGCATGAGAAATCCTCAAGGTTTTCATGCACGGTGTGCTTAAACTTATTGTGCTCACTAATTGGTGGATGTTGCGCATATTTTTCAAAAAGAAGGTGCCAATCAAAGAATTTGTGAATTTGTATGCACTGATGCATACTTTTTTCAATGGATTTGTGTGTGGGTGAGGAGGGGTTGTGATGGGACAAAATTTTTTGAAATGTTTGAATGCTGACAAGTGGCAAATAAGATACAGTATATGCATCAATTATTCAATTAATCATAAAGGCAATGTGGAAGACAACTTGTTTTTTATGTAAGAAGATTGTTGATGGGTCATTATTTGATACTCAAGGTTCCACTTTACAGTTTATCATTGGTTAGTTGAACATCTTCAAGTCAAGAACCATTGTACACCAAACTTTTGTTCCGTCCCTCCCTGAATTCCCTCAAGAAGAATGCAAATTTTGGTATTGTATTGACCCACTACCTCTTACACCATTACTGAATGCACCATTTTTTTTGGAAAATCAAGGCAGATAAAGTAGAAGCATGTGGTATCCAGGTATCCATAATTTAAAAAAAATATGAAACCGCAGTGGTGTTTGGGCAAAGTTTTCCCAAAGTAAAAAAAAGTTTAAAGATTCTGCTTTGCACCAATTCTGCTTCAATGCTGGGTGTTTTTTAGTTTATTATATATTTTTTACAAATTATTATTTTTTGGAGAACATACTTTCTAACTAGAAAAACAGAGGTACAGTCATATATATGATGATAGGTTTTTGGGCAAATTTTTTTCACAAATAATTTCATGTCTATGCAAGTGTTACCTGAAGGCACATGGTACTGGAGTAATACGGATTTAAAAAATGCAATTAGACCTCCATGACTCAATGCTTTTCCTCAAACTTCTATAAAATAAATATTAGGAGGCCTTTGCACCATTATTCCAAGGACCCATCAGGAAAGAAACAAGCAATATGCATGTCACTTGGGGCTTTTCAAAAAGAATTCAGAAATTAGTTCGACGAAAGGAACCCTTGGCTCCAAGTTCAGCATCCTGTCAACATTTTTAGTCATTGGTTTACAGTTCACCTTAATGTAGTTCTTTGTTTTTAATTAAAAAAACCCCCATGATAAAAAGAACTCTTCAAGTCAAAATTGTGTGTGGATCCTTCTGAGTTAAACTTCAAGAGGTTCGACAGCATTCCATTTTGACCATTTCAAGATTACATTCTCAACATCCAGTCAGAGATCCAGGGTCATTAGGTTAGTATATAGTGTTTGAAAATAACCTAATTTATTTTTTTTCCCGAAAGTCTCAAAAAACCTGCATAAGTCCCGCTTTGAGTCGTATATTCCATAGAGACGTTTCCTGGGTCAAGTCCAACATTCCGATGATGATAAACGTAGCATAATCCGTACAATGGAATGAACGATGTCGTGAAATCGCTAATAAACATAATCAAAGGGATATAATGAATATTCAATCGATCAAATCAAGAAAGAAAAAAAAAGAGCAGGATGTCCACCAACCTTTCGTTCCTGCAAGACCTGTCTTTTTGCTTGCAGTTCACGACGAAGCTTTTAAATCCTTGGGAAATGGTTGGAATCAGCTTTCGTTTCGAAGAATCCTTGTAGAGCACAGCTAATTCTGAGTAGAATTTGTCAGCCAAGTCGACTTCTTGGGATTTGAAAGATGCGCTTGAATTTGGATCGTAGTCATCAAGTTCAAATTCCGGGAACATGGCTTTCCGAATGAAGGATTTGCACTGCGTAAAACTGTTGATCAAGTGTTTAGTCTGCAGGAGATGAACATTTTTTTTTTGAAATTTGCACAAAGAATCTTAACTCACTATGTTTTCAGGATAACGTGATCAATATGCCATTGATCACCCGCAGGATCGGAAATCGTTTCGTTTGTCCCATATTCGTAAATTTTCGACCACGATTTTTGACATTCTTCAGCAACACTGGGTTCGGAATTATTTGAAATTGACCAGTTTCCAGCAGACAATGTGTTGTTCCATTTATGAACCCAGGCTTGAACAGCCGCATTTTCACTGCTCATCAACTGTAAAAAAATTTAGTAGATTAAAAAATTACTCTAAAAAACCACGTTTTCAAAAAGCAAAAAATAACCTTAAAAGGGGTGCGCATCTATTTCATTTGTATTTCACTTCTTCCCTCCTTGTGAATGCTGAAAAGCGGCAAATAAAGTGTTTGGTTCATTCATTCATTCACCATTTCTCTAGAAAATCAAGGCAGATAAAGTAGAAGCCTGTGGTATGCAGGTAAACAATATTTTGAAAAAGTATGAAGCTGCAGTGGTGTTTAATGTGAAGAAAAGTTTTAAAATTTCTGCTTTGCACCAATTCTGTTTCAATGCTGGATGTTTTTTTTTTAGTTTATTGCATATATATATATATATATATATACATATATTTTTTTACAAATGATTACTTTTTGGAAAAATGTAATTTCTAACAAGAAAAACTCGGGTACAGTCATATTACTTTGGGAAAATTTTGTGCCAAAAAATAAAGATGCAAGCCTTACCTGAAGACACATGCAGTAATGGAGTAAAATGCATTAAATTTTGCATTTAGACCTCCATAACTCAATGCTTTTTCCTCAAACTTCTAAAATATAAATTTGAGGAGGCCTTTGCACCAAAATTACAGGTACCAAGGAAAGAAAAAAGCAAAGAAAATGTCACTTGGTGCTTTTCAAAAAGAATTCAGAAACTAGTTCGACAAAAGGAACCCTTGGCTCCAAGTTCAGCTTCCTGTCAACGTTTTTAGTCTCATCAGTTTACATCTCACCTCAATGTAGTTATTTGTTTATAATTTAAAAAGCACCATGATAAAAAAAACTCTTCAAGTCAGAATGTGTGTGGATCCTTCTGAGTTAGACTTGAAGAGGTTCGACAGTATTCCATTTTGATCATTTCAAGATTACATTCTCAACATCCAGTCAGAGATCCAGGGTCATTAGGTCAGTATATACTGTACGAAAATAAACTAATTTTTGATTTTTACGAAAGTCTCAAAAAACCTGCAAAAGTCCCGCTTTGAGTTGTATATTCCATTGAGACGTTTCCTGGGTCAAGTCCAACATTCCGATGATGATAAACGTAGCATAATCCGTACAATGGAATGAACGATGTCGTGAAATCGCTAAAAAAGTAATCAAAGGGATATAATGAATATTCATTCGATCAATTCAAGAAACAGAAAAAAAAGAGCAGGATATATCCACGACCTTTCGTTCCTGCAAGACCTGTCTTTTTGCTTGCAGTTCATGACGAAGCTTTTAAATCCTTGGGAAATGGTTGGAATCAGCTTTCGTTTCGAAGAATCCTTGTAGATCACAGCTAATTCTGAGTAGAATTTGTCAGCCAAGTCGACTTCTAGGGATTTGAAAGATGCCTTTGAATTTGGATCGTAGTCATCAAGTTCAAATTCCGGGAACATGGCTTTCCGAATGAAGGATTTGCACTGCGTAAAACTGTTGATCGAGTGTTTAGTCTGCAGGAGATGAACTTTTTTTTTTTTTTGAAATTTGCACAAAGAATCTTAACTCACTATGTTTTCAGGATAACATGATCAATATGCCATTGATCACCCGCAGGATCGGAAATCGTTGCGTTTGTCCCATATTCGTAAATTTTCGACCACGATTTTTGACATTCTTCAGCAACACTGGGTTCGGAATTATTTGAAATTGACCAGTTTCCAGCAGACAATGTGTTGTTCCATTTATGAACCCAGGCTTGAACAGCCGCATTTTCACTGTGTTGAAAAATTAAGGAAATTCCAACAAACGGACAAGAAAGCAATTAATAAAAATGTGTTGAAAAAATTTGTGGCATTGTGACGTAAAACAAAACTTATCAGGCAACAAATCGTTAAACAAAACAATGGTTTAAATATAAACTAAAATTCTGGTTACCTAGCCTAAAACCTCTGTCACCCTATCAATTGACCAAACACAAAGTTCAAGTCATAACTCCTGAGTATTCTAACCAACAGCAGAAGCCATACTTAATTTACCACAATGCAGCACCAATTTTATTTTTGAAAAAGCTGTTCTCAACTTTCATATAAAAAACTCATAAATTGAGTGCATAGATTGTAAGAGTTGAGGGTTCATTTTCCCAATTATTCTTTCATTTCCTTTCAAAACACATGAAGTTGATACAACATATTAGCCAAAAAATTGCCTCAAGAAAATGTGGCAAATGGGTCCAAATTATGGTTTTTGGTCTCTTTTTCATGTCAGAAGATCCGATTTTGTGTGGTTTTCATCTGCACATTTTTTTGGTGCCTTGAAGTTGAGAAACATTTCTTCTTTAATTTTTTGGAGGACTTTCCCCTGATTTTTGAACAACAGGTGAAACAACTAAATGCAGATGGTACCTCCCAATTTGACCCTAATCCATTGCCAAACTAAGGTTGAATTGCAAGACACTCTAAGAAATCAAGGGCAAACAGCACAAAATCACTAGAAAAGGGGCTAAAACAGGTCAGATATTGGGAGAGGTTGAATTGCTAGTCAACCTCCAAGCATATTTGACAATCAAATTGTGGGACTGTTGAATTGTGGGAGGTCAAATTGCAAGGTACATATATGCAGTATTCTATAATCTATGTAATACACCAAATATAAAGTATACAGAAATGGAAGGGAAAATTTAATCCATCATTGGGACATTCCAATTGATATAGGACTAATTGAGACAGGCAATTCAAGACAGGGTCATTTTGAGACAGACACTTTTGGAGACAAAGACTATTTGAGATAGGAACAATCAACACAGGTACATTTCAAGACAAAGAGAATTTGAGAAAGAAGCAATTTTCAAAGTGACTTTCCTGTGTTTCTAATAATATTTTCCCTAATATATCCCCTAATATATTCCCTAATATATTCCCTAATAATAGTTTCCCTAATATTTTATGTTGAATACACAAACAGGAACCAAAATTGCTGGTTTAGTCAAAAGTTATGCTAGTGCAATGGAAAAGTCCCCTAGATTCATCAAGAATTTTGGAAAAACCAGTGTAAAAATCAAGTGTAGAAAAAAATTACATTTGCGGAGTTCCTTTGTGACTGACTGTCTCAAATTGTCCCTGTCACTTATTTGCCCTGTCTAAAATTGTACCTGTCTCAAAGTGGCCCCATCTCAAAATGTCTGTCATGATTTTTCCATGTCCCCATTCCAACATATAGGGACAAGGTGCAAGAACCAATCAAGTCCACATCTCAGATGGGCCCAACTGTACTTCTTACATAGCATACTTTTCAGCAAAGTTGGCAATGATCACAGGTATCTGTGACTGTTCTCACCCTATAAATTAAAGGTGCCTTGGTGACTGTGGCCAAGCAGCCACTGTAATTCAGCAAGTTTTTGACAATACCGTCATCCCGATCTTGCACATACAAGACGGCAAGTTTGCTGCATTCCACGGGATTCCGGTTGCACAGCGTGACTGTGGGGAACACGAGTTTCCCGGCAGATGTCACAGCAACCACAGTCGTCACAGGAAAGGTAAAGTAGTCGTGTGCTACGGCAAACGTGTTCCACATGGTGAAACCCACGAGTGCGCCGAAAATCCCGAGCCAAACGATTCTGACCGGGTTGGAAGTTGAGTTCTCGATTTGCGCGATTCCGCCGAGCGAAGTTCTCGCTGCGAACTCGTGCCAAATTTCTGCAATTTCCTCCGCTTTCGACTTTTTTCGCGGCGCGGTTGCTGTGACTATTTTTGGATTGAAAGCACTCATATTTTGTTTCTAATCCACGCCGATACCTTGAATCGATTTCCCTGAGTGAGATCAAATAACAATAAAATTCCCGTACATTGTTTAATCTATAGTTATAATGAAATGTTTCGCTTCGATGATATTTTCTTGGTCTCATCAGTTTATTCATGGGGCATAAATCCAAAAATTATGCTATGAAAAACGAATTTTCCTTTGTAATCTCAGAATTAAGCATTTGGCCACGATTATGCGTGCATAGAACATAATAATTTGCACTAATTGGCATAATTTTGGAAAGCATATAACTTGTGCATAATTTATAAACCTTCAAGGAATATCTGCTGATATTTTGTCTATAGAAACTATAAACATTGCAGGGCGTATGAAGCTCAAATGAAAATTTACGTAGGTTTATTTGCAAATTCAGAATTGACTGGTTTTTTTTTAAGAAAAGTATGCGTTGGAGGAAATTTCTGTATTTTTGAGGACTCACAATGCTCAATAAATAAATGATCTTCTCGCAGAAAAGCAGATGGATTTTCTTTTTGTTTCAGCTCACGCGTGACTACGTGAGTAAGATCAGTACATATTTTTCAATTCAAGAAATCGAAGGTCTGTAAGATAATTTTAATTCACATTTTTTAATTTTCACAATTCTTTCATCCGAAGAAGTTGCAAAATGATGGCAATTCGTGATATATCTGCGGTGAATGTACTTTAAAGAATCTATTATCCTTCCAAAAAAATGTCAGTCCTAGATGCTGAAAGAACCATGTTTCTAAAAAAATTATCTGGTCTCTGGGAGTTTATTGTAACAAGATTTAACTATATGCTGTATGCAGGATTTCTAATGTATATCTTCAGAAAAGAAAACCCGTACAGCAGAAATTTCCTTAATATCAGAATTATTTTCTTTCAACTCAGCTCATCCTCTGATTGACACTTCCGGCAAGGATATGTGGCAGGAAGTTCATGTGGAACATTCCATTGTTTGCCGCAAATTAATCTTATGTTAATCATCAGATATTTATTCCATTGTCACCAGTTTTATCAAATACTAAATACAATACTGTGCTGCGTTCCCTGAAGTCATGCAAATAAATACTTCGAAGCGTTACAGTAACAGAACAACATGATCAATTATAAAGTTTTCTTCAATCAAAAAAAAGTTCAGGGCAATAATAGGGTAAAATGTCTTTATATGGTTTTTCAGATTTAAAAGCGCACTTTGAATTCAAAAATTACTCGATTTCGGGCATGCTTAATAAAAATTTTCGTATGCAAAAAATTTGCGAAGGGAAGTAATTGTTTCCATGTACTGTACGTATTTTAAATTCAATTAGGCGAAGTCTTTCGGTATCCTCGTCTTTCCTTTTGCGTGTGGACCCGCTGATTTATTCATTATTGATCTAAGCAGTTGTCTATGAATCTCCCGCTTTATAATATGTACAAAGAATTTGAAATTTTTTCGCAGCAAGATTTCTTGGTTGAGTGTCGAGCACGTTTTGTGCTGGAAAAGCAGACCGAAATAAACCAAAAAGGAAACTGAAAATTTCGAATATCGTGATGCCGTAAATTCCCAAGTACAGAGCAGTTGCTCCTCCAATGCTGCTCATCAACGTTGAAACCTGCGCTTTTCCAAAAAAAAAAAAAAAAAAAATTTCCATGTCGTCATAAATTGAATTCAATGAGTTTATTCCATACCGTGTATTTTACATTTTCCCTGACTTGAGGCTGCTTCATTGTCTGGAAATAAACTGAGAGCTTGGCGAAGTCGCGTCGGATCACCGTTTTGATGCTGGAAAAGGGAGTTTTCTCAATTTCATCTGCATATTTCCTTGCCAAGTTGTCCTGATAAATAAAAAACAAGTAAATTTTGGAATGAATTAAGTCACGTTCTCTCGATTCAGAGGAAGAAGTTCTGCATTTTCTCACAAGATAAGCAGGCGAAGGCCAATAAGAGCTGGATGCCGCCGTCTGGTAGGAAACGTACCTGTAAAAAAAGTGAATGCAAAAAAAGGATTCATACAAAATACACTACAAGTGAAAAATGCCTTCCGATAATAAAAGTGGGCTGAACAAGTATCAAGCATCATTGCTTAATCGTCAAGATAATTAGGGAAAACTATGTCGTAGTCTAAAATAATCTATAGCATGCTTGCACGCTTTTATTTTGAATCATACTTTCAGCTTTCCAAAGAAAAACTTCCCGATTCATTCATGCGACTATATAAAATGCATGTGCAGTGAGCGTTTCATGAATGACAAATGTGAGTTTAAAAATAATTTAATCGGATTCTAAAAATTACGAGGATGAGAACAAAATAAGGTTGCAAAATTGGTTGGGTACAACGTACAATACAGAAAATACCTGCATGTGGTGAAATTGAATGAAAATTTGTGGAAAAAGTTCTAAAACAAGTCTTGCTTTCCCATTCCCTCATCATTCTCAATTTTCCAACTGACCTACAGGGTGCGTGGCATTTTTTGCATTCTTGTGCTGTGGCTATGTCGCTGAACACGTCGCTGAAGCAGTCCTCGTCTTCTCCTGAATAAACAGAAAATTCATTCGATGGTTGTCCTGGTTGATCGCGACCTCTGAGGTTTTACAAAAGTGATTGTAAAAAAAAATATTGGTATTAAAGCGCAGCATGATGGTCTAAGACTCTAAGCTGAGGCTCTGGGATTTTTTTTGGATAAAAAATATGTTTATTGCATGATGACGAATGAAAGCTTATTAGTTACAGTCAGAGTTCCCCACCCATGTCATAGGGAGCTAAAATGCTTCAGTTCACAACTTTCCATTTTGTTTTATTTTGTTTTGACTATTATCTAAATTACAGAAAATATATAGCACTGTAATGGGTAAAGCAAAAAACTATTTTTTTTAGGTGGTCTGACACATTTTCAGCACTTTAATTGTGGCATGGGTGGAGAACTCTGGCTGCAACTGGAAAGTTTTCACTGATCATCATGTACTATAAATTGAAAGAATCTTTTAAAATCTGAAAAAAAAATCCCTGAACCATACGTAGAACAGTGTTCCCCATCCTGTGTTCTGCAGACCAGTGACGGTTTGCAGACTTTTTTGCCAGTCCTCAAAAAGTTTTCAGCATACTAAATTTAGCATGAGTAGCAATCTACTCTCTTATCATTATCTAAAACTTTGGAAAGACAATAGCAGTTGAATCATTTGATGAAAAATAAAAGTTGGCTTTTTTCCTAATAACACTTCAGACACAATTTTACCTGCTGAAATGAATTATTTTAAAATTTTCATTCTGAGAAACCTTTCTTAAAGCCCACTTATCTAAGTTTTTTGATGACATTCAGCTAAAGCTGCTTCATAGGTGATTAAGTAAATTTTTGCAAGAATTGCAGAAAATTTTATTTACCTGCCATAAAGTCAATCAAGCAATATTTTTTCAAGTCTGTAAAAAGTTCATGAAACTTTGCCAGTCCACAGGCATTTTTTTCGGAATTTGCCAGTCTGCAAAATTTCTAATGGAAATTTGCCAGTCCATGGACCGAAAAAGGTTGGGGAACACTGGTATAGAACATCTTGGGGTTTATCAGGCTTTTTTATGCAGCACTGCTGAATGATGCTCTTTAAAATACCAGTCCTCTAAAAATGTCATAGGTTGCGTTCAACTAGTACAACCCTAGCTCGTATGTTTTATACTATAGATAATTCTGTTTCTTTAATACATAGCTGTCATCCACCATTTCGCTTTCCAAGAATGTCTCACCATTTGTGTAGTCACACAATCGCTCTGCCGAGTTGAACAATTCTCCATGAAAGTAAAACTCTTGAGCCGAATAGTAATCGCTGCAGTTGCACCTGCGGTTCATCATGGCACTGAAGCACAGTGTGCGACAATCCTGGAAACACAACCCAAAACAGGACTGATTTAGTGTTAATCATCGTCAATTTGCAAACTCAGCAGCATTCTGGGAATGTGCGAAATAATGTGTGGGAAAAGAATCAAGTTATAGTTGGTCCTTGCTTAACAACCGAATCAACATTCAACAAAACCGGAAAAACGCCTGACCAACACCCAGATCACAATCAAGCATTGATGTTACCGTACAATGATTCTGAGATCACAATTGATATTACATGCAACCAAAATGACGTGAAAAGTTGGGCCAGTCACTCCGCAGGTGTTAGGAACCACGGAGCACAGTTGATATTTGATAATAAATGAATCCCTTGACCAGAAAAAAACCTGTATTAAACCTTCAGAGGCTTCAATGCCAAAAACCAGTCCAGGAGGACTTGCGAGATGATGCTAAGGATTGTCTTCAATTCAGGTAAGATCAGCCAATTCCAAGGCCAGTGTCTGAGCCTTAAGGAAAACCAGTTCCATTCTTTTTCTTAAAAAAATTCCGCAGAAATTCATTCCACTGTGAGACTCTGTGATGCTGACTTGAGCTGTGAAAGCTGTGGATATTGCACTGTATTGAACCTCTCTTATGCATTTTTCCTTATTATTCAAAGTGTCTTTGAGTTGATTTAACTGTGGTTTTGGTACATTAGTAAATACCCAATTCTTTTTTGAGTCTCTAAAGAGGGTCCCAGCCAGTCCCAAGCTGATTGTGGTGTTTAATTTATTATTCTCATCTTCTTTTCTTTCTTGAGACCGTTAGTCTCAAATAGCAGGTGTCCCAGAAAAAAATCAGAAAACTTAAACTTAATCGAGAGATTAATCCAAGAACCTGTCTGCAAATGAAATCTTTTGTCTTCTGCTGAAATCTTGATTGCTCCGTTTATCTAATTTTGCTGAAATAATAAAATTCATCTCAACTTTCAGCCCTTACTAAATGAGGACAGGCTGGAAAACTTGCTGATATTGCTGCATTTGCTTTCCTTATTTTAGTTTTAAAATATTTTCTGATCTATACTTAGTCTTGCAAATCTGCTCTTTTTTTTTTGTAACAGCAGGGGTTCCAGTGTGAAATTATAAGGTGAATTTTTCAAAGTTGAAAAAGGGGGTTACCGTTTGAGAGTAGCTTATCCCTCTGATGTACTTGTTGGTTGTGGCATTTAGGAGGATCCTAGGAATGAACGGCGTCTGGTC